CACACAAATCAGTTTCAATGTAGTAATATTATAAATGCCTCTCCCCAGTTAAAATTAAACTACAACATTATGTTCACTAAGTTTTGATTGGTTTATGACGACGTGTGTTAAATGTACAAACTGATACTTAAATATAACGATCTTCATATGTTTTAAATTGTATTTATTTACTTGCGTTATAAAGTTTACAATTTAGCCAATGTAATTTAATTTACTTTAGTGTTTATAGTGAATTATATCCACTGTTCGTTATAGGTATAGAAAGATATTCAATTTGAAGGCAATTCGGTTTATTAAATAAATGTGGATCATAATATCGATAGAACTTTATGCCTTTCCTTTTAATATCATATCGCCCGCGGGGTTACTCGTTTAGGCGATATTTGTTCAGCTTTTCCATTTTAATGGAATATAAATGTTGTCATATTTAATTTATGATATTGACTAAATTACAGACAACATACATTTTAAACCAAAGAATGCATGATGAGTTTACGAGGTATACAGGTACAACAGCTGAGTTTTCCAAAATTGAAATTAATGAGGGATATCATGATCACGGATATCACGGTTTCCTATCAAGTTTTGTATTCAAAATTGTATAGAAACACGATGGATATATAATTGACAAGACGTCAATTACATATCCTATAGGTATAATTGACAATCTATACAAACAGTATATTTTTATTTCATTTATTATTAATATGTACACAGGAGATTAATTCTTATCTAATATCCATTTTATAGCTTAGTACTAATTTGCAAATAACCAAATATTAATGTTGAATGAAGGCAATGAAGTAACAGAATACTTAATTAAAACACTTAAAGTTTGCCAGTAAACGACTAGATAGATATTCATTAAAATTACTTCCAAAACTTCTAACTTTGTTAACAATTTACATACTCACCTCAAATATTATTAACACAAGCTTACCGTTTTATTATTACAAATAAGTATGAAGTACATATTTCATATACTACTAAGATAATCTTGGGAAAATTTTAAAAGGCTCATGAAATAACTACTAGTGTTTATTCTTTATATCTGTACTAATATTATTAATGCGAATGTGTGTCTATCTATCAGCTTGTCGGTTATCTTTTCAGGAATAATGGCCAAACGGATCGAAATTAAATTATTGATATATGCTATCTTTTAAATTACAACAAATCTGGAAGTCCAGATATCTTCCAGATTTGTTGGTTGATACAATATATGGGAGAAAATTTTGTGCAGATGGCGTAACCGATAACAGATGATAATAATAAAATAACGGATAATATAACATTGTGTTATAAAAAAATTCTTAAGTATACCTTCTTTAGGTAGATATATGAATATTGAATGAATTGTATTGAATACGATATGTCGATTGGTACTCTGTTGAGGACCGGTACACAATTTCATTACGAGGTACATAAAAGTCCATTAGGCTCCTGCGACACTATGCCAAGAATAGCAAGGGTCAACCTTGATAAGCTACAGATACGTTTGTTGAAATGGTCTCCTTACCTACTCATAACTCGAAATTACCTACTCATAACATAAAAATTTTTTTGACAAATTGTTGGTAAGTATTTACAAAAACTAAAACTTAAAGACTAAAAACATATAGATAACAATTAAAAAAATATTCTAAATACATATATTAACTTTAAATTATTCTTATTTCAAATTCTACTAATGTCATACACATAACATTTTACCATCCATTATACCTTTTACCATCGCACCGTTCGCCATCGACAGGGAATTCATCCCCACACACTGAAACCTAAGTGGTCTCGGACAGTGCGGTTTCAGAGGAGCTTCCTCCCGCGTACACTTAGATTGTGGAATGAACTACCTATAGAGGTTTTCTCGAGAGACTACAGCATGGGGTTTTTCAAGAAGGATATATTAAGGTTTCTTAAGGGTCGGCAACGCGCATGTGACACCCTTGGTGTTTCAGGCGTCCATAGGCTGCGGTAACCGTTTACCATCAGATGGGACGTATGTTTGTTTGCCACCTACGTGGTATAAAAAAATAAAATTGAACCATTTGTGTTGCTCATTCACACAAAAATTACTTAACGATTTTTATGAAACTTTAGAATAAATAATTTATACATCAAAATAACATAGTCAAAGTGAGTCGAAAAAATAATAAATCTTAATAACACACTTGGATAATGTATGGTGGAATGATTTCTCTAAACTGTTCTAAAAATATATAAATAAAACTACATGCATACATGCAAGTCAAAATACTGAAATATACAAAATAAGTCATACCTATAAAATAAGTCTCGAAATAAAAACTAAAAAAAATTCAAGCTAGCCAAGCTATTAGGCCTACAAATAATATACATAATTAATTCTTGCAAGAGATTAATAAAAATACATACACATACAAAGTTGCGTGCGTCAGCATGTATAGAGTGTTAAGTTCGTTTAAAAATGCACGCAGGCATATCTAATGGTTTCTGTTTGTGACATCTATCGCATAGGTACGTTGTGCTTGCAACAAAAAAATAATTAATATTTTTTTACTGAAATAATTTTTGCAAATTTATATATTTAAAACTAATATATCATTGATTATTAAAATCCAGTAAGACTTGCATGCATATGAATATAATGAAGATCCATATTAATATTATTATAAAAATAATAAATAGTATATGCTTAATAGTCTGTTACCTTTTCATAACTAGATTACTATATAGACCTTAATGAATTTTTATATGAATTGAAGATTGAATCGTTAAAACAGACGTAATTGCTATTTTTTTTATAGAAACTATAGCCAATATTCTCATCCTCGTAATATATACTAATTTCATGATATTTCATAAGGACCCGTGAAAAGGCAATAAACAGATAGACACTTTCACTTTTATAATATATATGTACCTAATATGTATAGTAAAACAAAAACTAAAAAAAAGTACGTTGCTATTCAAGTTTTACTTGTTTCGAGTACTCAGAGTGAATAATAAATGTATGTATAGTTTATATTGGAAAATAATCGCATCGCTTGTTGACACAAAATTAATCTACATTAACCTCTAGCCTTAAATATCTTTAGAAGTGGTAAATATTATTAAACGTACGAATATTACAAAATAGATTGGTAAATAAGTATACAATACAGTACATACTATATTCTTTATAAGTCGATAACAAATCTAAACGAATTTTTTATCATTATTTTGCATTTGCTAGTAATTACAATCGAATCGGTTCCAATGTACCAAATATATCATGATAAGGATCTAATTATACTGATACATTTAAAAATCATATGATAGATATATATTTGATAGAAACAGATATGCTTTACACTTTTTTCTTATATCTACAGTGTATATACCTAAAACTATTATAATTTATATATTGAACTACATTATATTAAAAGCCCAATTGTATTATTTTTATGTGACTTAGGATGCAAAGAACAAATTTAACAATACGTGGCTATAGCTGTTTAAACATGACATTTCTTCAAATTTAAAACTTATATTTTATCATCTTGCATGCTAACGTCATGTCCCAGATTCGCCCGGGTGCTCATAATTTTTTTTACTATAAATAATACTGTAATAAGTAAAAAAAAATTACTATATCACTTCAATCAAAGAATTAGTCAAATAGATGCAGTAGTTTACTTCTAGCAAAATCCATTCGTACCAAAATCCTCTCTTTACAATATTTAGTATCTATATTTTTTTTTTCTTAGCCGCAATATTTAAAGCGGTAAGAAATCGGCTATCTTATTAAACGCCAGAGCCTACCACGCTATTCCGTCCGATAAAAAGAAATTCTTCTCTTTGAATATTGTAGACCAAGGAGCCCTTTAACGGTCGCCTATTCATTCGGACTTTTTCATGATCGTTTATTTCCTTTTCCTCAACATCACAATTATATCTAGAACCTTCGATATTTACCTAGAAGGTTCAAACAAATTGAATGTATCTATTTGAAATATTGACTTCAATGAAAATGTCCTCGTAATTGGTTCCATTGATGGTCTATAAAAAAGTCCGAATGGAAAATAGTAAGTCTATCTTATGCAAACTATATTACTTTTAAAGACGTACTACTACCTACGTATCTTTAAAGTATAATTATTTAAGTTATGTACCGGCCATAATCATGTTCATATATATTCTCATGCTATTAAACTGACTAGAGTATACTTAATTCTTCAACTCCAATGTTACCAATATTAGGAGTAACTTTATTTTTTTATGTAATTGCAATGACACGCATGCTGATGGTAAATGGTAACCGTCGCCTACATACGTAGATTAGGAGTACAAACGTTCATTATCGCGTATCATTTGACTTCAAAAGCCACCAGTGCTGTTGTTGTTCGCTTTGAAAGTGAGTTAAAGCAAAAAAATTAACAGGAGGACGCCGGTTTACTATTTCAAATATCATAAAAAATGTTTACATTTTTATCAATTTTATTTATTATGACTTACATAAACTATATAATCGGTACGTTACTATTGTAATGACTCATCCGTCTAATCATGTAGTCTAGCCACATTACTACGGGTGACCCCCAATAATTTAATGTGACAATTATGTAACTATCTCTCTGTACAATACCAAAACAAATATATTACATTTAGATAGGTACGAATAAGTATGCTACGAAAATTTGTGTTATTAATATATATATTAAAAAAAAAACAAATTTTCAATAATATACATAATTGTTATATACATAAGTAAAAGTATAGAAATACACAGGGAATTCTTCTGCTGCGCATTCACAACCATACAAAGATAAGACAGTCTACAACATCTTGTACACCGCCGACCAAGTTACATTAAATACTTCCAAGAATTTAATTAATTAAAATTATATAGTCTTCATAATTAACACAGTACGTATATTAAACTCAGAAAAATAAATATTGAGTTCCTTTTCTATGTTCTTGACAACAAGCAGATAGCGGTGATAAAGCGAGCTCCGAGAAATCAGTAAATAAACACAGGTTGAGAGGTTATCTTTAGATATTCGTTTAATTGCTGTACTGTGCTTTTGCTCTCGACATTCCATTAGATAATTTGGATCTAGACGGAAACGTTTACTCTTACCCCTCTCAAGTAAGTACTGACATTATCATTAAATTTAATATTCATTTGAAATATAATATCGGCAATAACAATCATCACGAAATAACTCTTCGAACTGGCCTTTTTGTTAAATTTTAACGTAACATAGATTTTATTGATTACCCCATTTTTTAAGATATACTAATTAAGTTCCATTGGTTAATATCAAGTAACATTGGTTAATATCAAGTGTGGTATTACTATTTACCCTATATACCTGCAACCTATACTTTATGTCCTGAAAATTGATATATTTCACTGAAGTTTCAAGTTAATATAATACCTGACCTGTGCACAATGCTATGTCGAGAAAAGGCACAAAAGTGAATCGTGCATACAAAGTACGAGTATATAAAATACTTTTTTTATTAAAAGTATTTATATTGTAGTGGAGTAAGGTTAGGTAAATTATACAGATATCTATATTATGATAATAAATAATATTTAAAAAATCACACAGGACAAGGTTACAGGATAATGTTATAAAAAATCGTTTTGATACAGAAATTTCAACTATCACTACAATTTACTATTCAGGAAAAAAAATCTTATTATACTTAATATGCTAGTATACATAAATGATCATAACAGAAATCTACAGTTAATACGTTAATAATATAAGATGAATTGACATCGAATATCTATTAAAAACAGATCCTTTACAAATAGTTAAAGTTTCCAATATTGAAATTAAATTTCCCAACTCCCACATGATACAACTTCGTCAACAATTTTACTACCAAATTATTTACCTATCATGTTATAATGAAATACCTTTTAGCTAAAAATTATTTCTAAATTTTCGATATGAATATATTTTCACTTAAAAAAATTACGAAAAGAAATTCACAAATTGCAGTTCAAAATGCATTTCATTTACAAGCAACATATAGTTCTCAGATTTATTGAATACTATGAGATTTAATGGAAAATCTGAATAATTCTATAATATTTACGTTTTCTTTGAAATTAACTACAAAGACAATGGGTTATAGTACTAGGTAATCCTTGTCTATTACTAATGTCTGATCTTTAGAGAACCAATAAAATAAATCCATTTGGATAATAATAATTTTACAAAAGGAATTTACACTATTTCCTACAAAAGTACTACTGAGTCGCACAAATGTATTGATAATAATAAATATGTATTCGCAGTGATATCATCGTGTAACATACATCTTCCAATGCCAATCCGAAATAGACATGTAGTCATTGAAATTTATGCCAATATTGTCAAAAATTTATTCTTATTAATAAAGAATGATAACGTAGAAAGCAAAAAACTAACTTTCGCTTAATAATTAATATAAATTAAGTCAATATTAGTTAAGATATTGTGTGTCCTTACTAAACCTACCGAAACTAAAAATGTATCATTTATACCTTTGTTATAGGAAAATAAGTTTTATAAACGTAAAATAAATAGCATTCAAAGTCGATTTATAAAAAGTCGTAGTCTGCGGTCTCACTATTTCAATCGCCAAGCTGCACTGTTTGATAGAAATGTTTCAGTTGAAAAGTGAGATAGGGTAGTGAAATTACAGAATAAGCGAAATGAGTCTAAGTCTAAGTCCTCCGAAGTGGAAACTCATGGTATCGTAAGGTGGGTCGTAAGCTTGTTTACCATTCTAATTTCATTAAAAAAGTTAATACTTTCAGTATGAAAGCTGTGATAATACTGGCGCTATTGGCGTGCGTCATAGCTGTGACGTACGGTGATCTGGTCTGTGGTAGCAGTTACTGCAAGAGCAATCCCTGCAACACCCGCGTAGCCGCAAGCACCTGCCGTTCACCATCTGTGTACCGCCAGAATCATTCAGGCAAATGCGCTTGTTGTCCGGCTTGCGTTACTCTTCTACGTAAGTAATAAATATGACCTATTATAACGCTATACGGCCGTAGTAAATAAGCCATTTGCTTGTTAAGTTATGAAACAAAACATGAGATTTTTTAATTTATCTATATACCATAAAAATCCATAGTCAATTGGAAGACAAAACTAATGTGACTAACATGTTATTAATAAAAGCAAATAATCGTTAAATACTATACAGCTTCGTTTGTCGCAAATATAGTATTTGACGATATTTTTTTTAAAATATGTACAGCAAAAATTTATCAAATATAGAATATCCTATTTTTAGTCCGTTGAAAATTGCCTAGGAAAAATTGAATAGATCCAATTCAATATTAACTACAACAACAATAATTAGATTCAAAATTACGTATAATTATCCAATTGAGTAGATACAAGTGCCATTTTATAGATAACGAAGGGTTTGTCGCATTGTAAGAAGGTCCGTATGATATCGCTCATTTTATACATATTTATTACAGATTTACATATGCAGTTAAATTAGGCACTTTAACAATTATATTTTATTTCCTATAGCTGATTAAAAACAATATAGGTATCTAACAATAAGTAGGTATCTAATAGCCTTGACTTTTGTAACATAATTACTTATTTATTTAGACTTTGGGTAAAATTAGTCAGCCTAATGATTTTAGTAGTATGTAGGTAATACGTTTAAATTGTATTTGTATAGTATACAGTATCAGAACCTAATCAGCATCCCATAGAGCACTTGTAATAAAACAACGCTAGACAGATGCTGCCCAGGCTTAGCCCGAATGCTCTTCAATTTCTGAATTTTATATAAATTAACACAACCTTACCTTTTATTTTAGAGACACTGAAGTGAGAGAATATCTCAAATCGATTCAGTGGTTACTAAGATTACTTTTCTAATGACAAAATCAGCTTTTTTCTCTTTATAGTATGTTTCAGCTCATAAGTATTACTGCAGCATTATATATTTCTGAATTACAATCTATAAAACTATGTACCATATGATTATCACAAGTCACTTTCGAAGTATAAGGAAAGTTTGGAATTATATCGATACAATGCCATTTTATTGAAAAATTTGTGTTTTCAGCGGAAAATTCAGCGTGCAAAACTTACAGCAAGGAGCTGGGAGAAACACCATCAGCTGTTTGTAGTGATCCATTGAAGTGTGTAAATGGAGTGTGTATCAAGGTTACACCCAGATCCGGCTAGATGAAAAAAACTTTTTTTTATTAATTACAAATGTTAAACAATCCTCAGTGGAAATAAAAAACTTGCAACTCTATTACTGTAGAGAAATTTATTTTAAACAAATATCCCAAATTATATTATTTCCTTACTTTATTAATAAAAATTTATTAATCACGCTATTATGAGAGCTTCGTTGCCTAATTAATGGTTTACGAGTATAACTTAGACAGAAAGGTGGACTGAATGACAATTTGACTGTCAACAAGAAAAACATTTGTGTGTTTATTTACATTTTTTACTAATTCTCCGGTGATGCAAATACCGATAGCATAATTCCTGATACGGCGGTAAGCTATTTTGCCATGATGAATTCAAATATACATAAAATATAGGTGTGTCGACCATGACGTTGACATTTTATAATTAATCTGTCAGATGTGGGAGATATTCCATACTATATTGCGTATATACAGCCGTACCGGATCAATATATAATTATTGATTACATATTTTACATTATCACTAAATAACATATTACAATTGGTATACCGATATCTCGTCATTTTTCCAAAAATTGCCATTGTCGATGTATCAGACAAGTAATATGTAATTATTATTCTTCATCCTGAAGCCTGAAGATTATCTATATATACTAGTTTTTTAAAGATTTAATATATATTTAATTTTAATATGATGTCATTACGTTGTAATAAAACTTAATGCTGGTATTTTTTTAAGTATGATATTGGAATGGTGCACCCGCCTGCGCTAACGACGGGCACGAGTGGAGGGTGATAAGATGAGCATGAGGCCAGGTCAATTAGCCCATTACAACAACAAATTTGCCAAGAATTTATCACGATGCTTTCCAGGAGGAAGCCTGGAGATTAAACTGACATGGTACATTGCTAGCGATATGATATTAAACTGATATACAAACACTCACTCTAGCAACTTATTCAATAATGCTTAGTAATAATTACAGCAATATTTGGGAACTGGAATAATCATATTAATTAGTCAAAACACGGCGAGATAAGTTACAAACGAAACGTTAATGGCTGTTCGTAAGCGATAAAAGCAAACAACAAAACTCCTCGACTCGAGTGATTCTACTTCCATTCAAGTGCCTTATCCTTTTCAACCATTTTTCATCTTAGATATTCGTCTGTACAACGTGTTCGTCTATATAAATATGCTTTCAATGAGATTGCGAACGGACTAGTTCGAGAATACGTTGAATAATAATTTAATGGTATTTAGATATAAGACATTACTGTAATATTTATGTTTAGACGCATAATAAAAGATTTATGTCGTTGTCCATTTGTTTTGTCGCAAATTGATGAATAATTGTTTAGTTTAATACAGTTTAATCGACAACTACAACAACAGTTTTGTATATAAAGTTTTAGGTACTTTGGACTTTTCAATGTAAAATAAGTAGGTACACATTTTTTAAATTCTATTGAATATTAATTTAATTATTGCAAAACCGGTCTGAAAATTTTTCACAACACGGATTTTTTTACAATTATCTGCAACATATTTTAAAAAGACACATACAAATGTGAATAAAACCGCACAAAAATAATTTCACAATGAAATCGGTGTTATTCTACGTTTCGTTGTTACGGTGCGAATAAAATTGAACCAAATGTTTTGTGCAATACGTAGAAAATATATCATAATTATGTGTTAGTCATTATTTGTACTGATATCTATTTCCATTAGCATTAGAAGTAGGTACACTTACTAAAAACTAGTTAAAATAATAGAAAGATCACAATATATTCACAATGTAAAATAGTTATTTAATGACACGTAATCCTCCGGGATTTAAATTCGTGTAGCTATAATTTGTTCTCCACATTCTCTCCTACCTAGTTATCTATAACAAAGTGATAAATCATCATATCTACCTCTACATTGTGTTAAAATATTCCGAAGAAGATTGTTTAAAAGTAGGACCCTTTTTCTTCGCGTTGTGAGGATAGGATAATTCATATCAACAAAATTATTTCTTTTGACAATGAATGTAGTGAAACAGGTTCTTTGAGTCTGATCATTCTACATAAAGTAAATCTAACACAGAAATATATATATCGGCGCTGGCATGATTCGATAATTGTACTGTCATAAAATCTTTGAAAATAAGAGTTTTAATTATTATTATAATGTTTGCTATTACTGTGAAATGTAATTGTAGAATTAATGTTTATAGAAACCATTATGATTAATAACACGATGTAATATTTACCAGTGCTAGGTTTGTTTTAAAGCTGTTCTGTTAAATTGTAGTTACTTTCAAATATCGAGTAAGAGTGAATAAAAGCCGCATAATTAACACTGTATAGTTTCTATTACTTGAATAATTTACTGATTTTATAAACAGAAATTAAGACACACAATTGTCTGCCATAATTTATTAGAGAAATTAGGGCAGTTAATTGACTGATAACATTGTTAACATAAATACTAATTATACTAACAAAAACATGCAATTTAATAACTATCATTCTTAATAGTATTTTAGAGAATTATAACAAGCTCAGCTTGTTATAATTATGAAGCAATTAGGTAATTACGAAATCTATAATTATAAAGAGTTGTTAAACTGTGAGCGAGCACATGAGCATTTGCTCTGATTGGTTGGCACACTAGCGCCCTCTTTGAGGTGATATACAAAGTCTTCTTGTACTCGAACACGGTTGAGGTGGTCAGTCACTGAGTTACCAAGTTATCGAGTTACCGAGTTACGGAGTGACTGAATTACCGTGAAGCCACGAACAAAGTCATGTCTGCTTAGAAATAATAATAATAATAGTTAATTAAAAGAGCAACACACAAGTTTCATTGTTCTTGTGATGAAACTGCGTTCCGAATGAGTGGTAGAATCTCTAATACAATAACTATTCAAACGTGATTATATTAATTTTGTTTCATTTCGTTTAAATATAATAACCTACGAGTTAAACAATTGAGATTGAGAACGCAAGCGACGTCACAGTAGCTGACATAACTATATCTAAAACCTACGATAGTGCATCTGCTCCGACATATATCATGGTCCGATATTAAAAAGACAAATGTTCTAACGGTGCACGAGCAATACTACACATTTTAGATAGTATTTAATATACTTTTTTTCAAACAAACTCGGCATTTCACTCGAATATCTGTTCGAATATATATATAGCCAGTTTTTAATTTTTGAAGGCAATAATAAATCATTTGAGACACTTACTTTTAAAGTCCGTAGTACCTACATGTCAAAAAAACAAATCATCAATCATCATGTAATCATTCAAATGTAGTATTATGAAACTTAAAACTCCACTATCAACTTATTTTCAATACCACTGCAAATACATAATTACAGTAAGTTGGAACTATAAAACAAATCAATGGATATATCACACTCAAGTTTTTCTTTCTAAGGTGAAAAACCGTTTAACCGTCCCGGTTTTATTGGTGTAGACAGATAAATCTATTTATAAGACACATTTTAGAGCGAATGATAACAGCAACCTCAAAGTTGGGTACTTCTTAGTATGCAAGAGTGCATGTTGACTTGATTTAGTGAGTGAATTTCACCGCCATTAAGGAGCAAATAGATATTTTCACACCATGCACGTTTTGTCGATTGTTTTTGTCTAGACTACAAGCGACAGTAAACTCCATTTCGACGTTTGTCATTATTTACTCTTATGTAGGTATAGGTAGGTGTCGTCTGTTCTTTGTTGCATGTTTTATTTTTGAGCTTGAAAAAGCTGTCAAACTATAAGAAATTAATGTTGTATAATTATTAAATAATATATAGATATACTCTGAAATTGTCAAAGAAAATAAAACAAGTGGTAAATTAATCGTATTATCTTGTTATCATAAATATGTTAATCGTAATGTAGGTTATTTATTCTTATATAATATATATAGCCGTGATATTCGTCTAAAATACACCCATAATAAAGTTTCATTATCTCAAGAATACTTAGAACAACCCTCTAGGTATATTATCCGGCATATAGGGTGGAACAATGCCAGCTATAAAGTTTTTATGATCTCACTGTTTACAGTGGGCCACCGCTACAGACTTTAGCTTCAGCATTACAAAACTTGCAGGAGTGCAAACGAATATAAAATTTGAACAATTTCATAACATCAGTTATCTGTTTATTAAACAAAGTCAGTGAACACTGTATATGTATTTCAATTTTATAAACATTTTAAAAGTAGTCTGCAGTAGGTGCGTAGGACAATCCGATTGCGAAATAATAATGCGAATAGTACACATATCTACATGTTTCAGTATTTTTAATGAAATTTGTGTTAATAATGTTAATACATACACACATAATCAAATGGATTTAAAAAAATTACATGTTACGTTGATTGAAATTAAAAATGTAGTATTCATTTTTACAATTTACAATACTTTAAGTATATTTGATTTACGTTGTACTTATTATGCATAATGTTACATTAGTCGATGTCTATTGAGCGGTCAACACAAATCTAATACGAACTACAAGGTGCTACGTTATGCGGTTACAGTACATATAACTTTCTACTCCAACTTCATGAATTTATATTGATGTATGAGTAGATATGATAACTTTCTGTTGCTACATAGTAATTGATTCATTTGCAAATATTACTTAGAACTACAATCTAGTTCGTAAGTAAAATAAATAAACGTAAATAATTAGCAAACTCATTTATTGAAGAGTGTATTTATAATGCACCAGGTCAAGAGAAGGAAAGAAAAAAGTACCTACTAGATTTCAATGCTACGTGTTATATAAGCATAAAAGTTGTAATAGGAAAGCAAGATTGTTCAAATGCTGCACTGGGAATGTAAAATATACTTAAATTTATTTTTTAGACACAACACAATTACTTTTCACGTATACGTTGTAATTTAAGTCCTGAAAAATAAACTAAACACCACCACTAAACATTACCACTTATTGTAAATAGATTCGCAGAATTATTTGATTATTTTCTACAAGTTTATTATACTTTCAACGAAGCGCTTGAATCCAATAAATATAGAGAATATTGCGCATCCTGCGTAGTTGATGTGATCAGTTTTACGATATATCCTGATAAACAGACATAAAAAAGCCATGAAGCTGTATCTGCCATAGATCTGACACTTTTATTACGAACTATATGTTTATCATAGCAGCATAAGTCTATTGGATACAATATCTCGTCTATATGAAAAAGGCTATATATAATATGACTTTTTAGGGCTCAATCACACTTTGAAAATTATTAAACTGCGTAATTTTGGTATAAATGTTATATATCATAGTCATGGACCTGGCATGCGGTACACAAGTGCTTACACAGCCTAATAAATGCCTCCTTTTTTGATAGCTTGGCATAACTTTCTACAAAAAACGTTGCTATTGGATTCTGTTAAATCCTTAAATCATATCCTACTTAACTTATATTTCTGGAAAAATCCTTCATAATATTCAAACTTCATATAAACAGCAAATTACCTGAATTGTATTTCTACACCTATAGGTACTAGGTATTGTAACTTTCTGTTATATTCCTCTTAAATGATATCTCGTAGTTCTTGAGTTATTCATCAAACGCGTATTCAAACTCCAGTAACTCCTTTATTGAGTTAGTTTATTGGAAACCGTAAATAAATCGTAGATCTAAACGTTTATTGTCCATTTCACCGCCTTTATATTAAACATTTACGAGAGAATCAGGGAAAACAGTTATATAGAAACGGGTGTGCTGTTACTACACATAATTGTGTCTATCAACGGTGTATACATACCTCCTACAATTCTTCCCTTTCGAGCAACAAGAAAATTTAATAAGGGTATAAATATAATAAGTATTCATTGAGATGCCTCCTATCTTTATATCAGATAGCGAAAGGAAATAGACACATTTGGTATTCTTCTGAAATTATTTAACCGCATAAATGAATATAAAAGGTTTGGTTAAAGTCGAATGACGGTTTATTGGTTCTTTTATATTTTAATGCCCGTCCAACCATCGGACGAACTCATTTTAGCTTTCATTTTGAGTGAAAACTTGATACGGATGAAGACAAAGGACGGCAGGGCAAGTCCTTGAGTCCACAATTGCGCTTCCCTCCAAAATGAATAATTAACTGGACCCACTTTTCACTTTTTCCTACATAAAAACTTTCTAATGCTCAGCGTCCTTTAAATTATAAGTTTGTTAGGACCTAGCCCTTTTAATCCAGAATAACGCTGGAACATTGATTTTATTGATACTTAGAATATTTTTACTTATAATTTAGCAGGACGAATTAAAACGAATTTTAACAATTTAAGGCAGTATACGTCTACATCAGATTACATTTTATTAAGTTTTGGTGGCTCTTTGCTTATTTTCGATTAACTCTACCTACGATATCTTGATGAAATCTTAGCGTCTTATATCAAAGTACTAGAAGAATATAAAAAATATAGAAATATATATATAATATAAGATTATATATAAATATTTTTATATATCTACATCTCTTCGATCTTGAGAAAATTTGTCGGAGATCAACAAGAAAATATACCGCATCAATTGCAATAATATAATATTTAACTTACATACACACACATAACACTAAACATCCCTGTTTTTCTTTGTAAGTATTTACGAGTACATATTCCAATTTAATAAGCGTCCCGCAATTTCAATAGCATACCCAATAATTTTACTAGCATTAGCACTATTATGACATAAATTAAATATTGATTTTACTACGTTATTACGAAATATTTACTTCATCTATCTAATAAATATTTACAGTAATATCAATTCGGAGAATCTGAATCAGATAATGTGGTAATTATGTTACTCGTTGTAATATATAACTATTTTGCACCAAATCACTCACTTTTATATATATAATCATTTTAATAATAATAACGAATCATCGTTAATCTATAAAAACACTAGCTCCGCTGGCGATTTCGTATCGTACGTATGGTATTTAGAATACCTAATAAAAGATTTAAAACTTTATTGTTTGTGAATCAATTGGAATAAAACAACCACTAAATGTTACGAAAAGCTTTTTATATTATATCAGTGAAATTGAAATTCAAATAGTTTATTAAGTCATTTTTGAAATTAGATCGACAAAGGGATATAAAAATGAAAAAGTATCTAAAAACATTTCTTTATTCAGATATACTATTTTTTTTAAATACAGAATGTACAGACAGGGCGGATTTTAAAATTATTAATTAATTAATTAATAGTACTCTAGTGACAGGCGCACTTGTAACAATTTTTTTGAGATTAGATCAACAAAGGCATATAAAAATAAAAAAGTAGCAAAAAACATTTTTTTATTCAGATATACTATTTTTTTAAAATACAGAATGTACAGACAAGACGGATTTTATAATTATTTATTAATTAATAGTACATTGGGGACAGGCGCACTTGTAACAATGTTATATCGCCGTTTCCAATGGGGTAGATAGTGTGTAATAGATAAGTTTATGATATATATTATTATCATAATGTGTTGTTTAGTAGTGGAAAGACTAATGACTGGGTCGGGTGTGTGTAAACAAATATATAACTAACAAGAAGATCACACACGTTTCTATTCACGCTAGGTAAGTTTAACTCATTGTTGTTATTTTCCCGTATTTTTGGGTAAATGCAAATAAGAATCTCCTTGATACTGATCCACAGAACTTTAATCATAAACAGACTGATCGTAGCACGAAGATATTATCTACTCACTATAATATCTGATATATATAAGTACTATATACTGGTAGTTGAAGTTTAATTTTATCAAAGCACGTTAGTCATCATTAAACTAAAAGTTAATAAAACATTATTTTCCTATTGAGAATATGAATTACCTGTATATTATTAATAATAATAGTAAAATGTTATAAATGATTTTAAATACGAGATAAACTAAGTAAATGATATAGTTAAAAATAAAAAAATATCATCAACAAATGTTTGTAATTATCTATAATTCATATTTTGATTGTGTGCAATATGCATAGATAAGTTACAATGGGGAGAATGGATATACTATAATAAACGGGAAAGTAGATACGACATACGTATGATATGGACACAATACTTGAATAAATATAAGTATATTCCCTTACTTTTTTTATCCTTAATATTTTTTCATAGAAAGCTTCTTATTGCTAGCAGCTTGTCCACCATTCTTTTTATAAATGTTTATATTATATGTTACCATTGTTTTATATGTCACTTTTGACTGTCTTACGAGCCCTCTAGAGTAATATATACACGTAAAATTGCTCCTAGTTTCTTTTATAAATTCATTTATTCCAGTCACACTTGTCCTAGAAATTCCAGAAGGACTTCCGGAAGACTTAATCATGTCTCTATATCATATAATTTAATTGCATCACCTCACCCTCAACTGTAACACAAACAAGCTGTTTGGCAGCAAAATATATGTACTAGATTTACTTCGGTGAATAGGTACAAAAACGTACACAAGTACATTTGCACCTATGTATTTTGTGTTTCAACACTGTCAATATTACGATTACAATAGACAATCGATTTTATTAACTTAATACTATAACATGACAATGTACAGAGATAGTATTATATTTGCCTACTAACTATTTGCCCGTATGAATTATAAATCATAATGAACTTAGATATATATATTTGATACAGTACACAAAACTGCCTTAAATATTCGAAATGGGTAAAATATTCTATTGATAGATTCTGTTATAAACCTTAAACTTGCCTACCTAGGATTTCTTAATACCATTAATATCATTAAATTCTATATATTTACATTTAATTCTTTATAAAATACTAGTGGGTAGTAAACTAAAACTATGACATACCACCATTTTCCTTACTCAAGTCTTCGATTAACTAGTTAGTAAACACTGATAAAGTATTCTATTTCAAAAATTATATCAATTCAATTAAGGAAGAAGTTAACAAATTTTGATGTGAAGTGAGACTTTAATCGTATTACACGTATATGTGTAATACAGGGCGTTGTTACTTCTATCCGTTATTATCTCATGTGAAAGGTTAGTACGATAACTAATAATGTTATGTGGCGTGACTTTATCTGTTTCAACAATACCTCATTTTGCAGGCACTTTGATTGTTGTTTAATTAGCAATATTCTGCATTGTGTTTGATTGAAATATTAAGATGCTTTTCTAGAAACAGAAATAATCTTTATTCAAATAAACTTAATATACACTCTTTTGCTAATAGTACTTTTTTTTAAATTTATATTTTCGAGTCCGTCCAATAGAAGGTTAAGTAACTTTGAATTATTGATGTAATGTATACACAAAACTTAGGTCGTTTCTAAAAGCAACTGTAGTCAATAAAATACTTGTTGGAAAATAATAGGTACGTGTATTAGATGGATCGACGAATTTATATTAAAGGGCATAAAAATCTCATCTATGAAGAACTATACTACATTGCATGTAATATAGTCCATTAGATGTTTTTAATAAAAATAACAGTTCAGAGGATATGTTAAGATATTTACCATGATTCCATAAAATGCCTGAATGCCATCGCAGTATAAAGATAAGTTACAAAATTTATAAACCATGTAATATTTTCTTCCAGAGCCAAACATGACAGAATTACGTAAACGAACAAAACCGTCAGTGGACCAGACCGGATCGGAGAAACATGCAACTAAGGAGAATAAGAAACCAGCGTTCACACACCGGGAATCAACTCTTACAGTATTGATAGAAGACTCCCTTCACATACGTGCAATATACCACATATTTGTCGCTATACTTATCATGTTATTGATCGATACAGTCGTATATGACTTCATAGAGCGCGGAAAGCAAGTAAATTACTACAAATTTTACTCGTTGTAGATATATTTTAACATTAAAGTTAAAAGTTAACATATTTTAAACCATTGTAGAAATAAACACGCATTTTAATCAAGAATTATAGATAAATAGGAAACTGTATGTTAAATGCTAAACAGTCGCCGTATTGCTAGAATGAATGCTGTTAGAAAAATACTGGCATTCCCCGAAACTCTTTGTTCAGATACTATACGTAGATTCTGCCACAGATAGTCAAGATCTCATAAAAGTATCTATAAACAGTAGATAATGTATGCGAAAAATGTGGCATGAGAATTTTTTCAAAAAGTTTCAAAGCAAATAAAAAGTCAAACCTTTGTAGTTAAAATACCTTATAGACAAAATATTTCACCAAATATTCAATACATACTTATGTCTAATATAGCCGAATCTATGGCTTATCAATTTTGTTTGCTACCTTACCTATCCTTATAGAAATCTCGTTTAATTATGTTTCTGAGATGTTACAAAAACATAAAAAAAATCTGATACCGCCAAATCTAATATAAAATATGTATTCCGATATATTTGTCTTAGTTTTTTGATGTCATATACTTAGTACGTATTTATACATAGTCTGAATATAAAATTAGACTATTAAATTTCATTCAGTTTCCATTTCATAAAATTATTTCAACAAACCATCAAAACCTCGGAATTATTGTATTTCAAGAAATTTTAACTTTTTATTTCTTTGATTAAGTTTGCCTATTAATATATAAAATTTTATTTTACAGGATTAACATAGGATTGAACGCGATTAAATATGGTTTTGGTGAAATAAGTCGAGGCATAAAGCTATGGCTGTATGATTTATCTGTAGCTCTCGCCTTTTATCCAGCACTGAAATTTTATGGAGCTGGTGCAATATCATTAAAAAAATCACCAGGTATGGATAAAAAATAATATATATGTAATATCCGACTATATAAGCGTGCAACATTTAGAGATTATGCACTATTCAAAGATATATGTACTATGGATTAAGCTGAGATTAAGGATACAAATAAAGGCAGTTTTAGAGGAGTTACCTCCTGCGTACACTTCGATTATAGGATGAATGCGGTTTTATAAGAAGAATACATTTAGGTTTCGAGAGTCGGCAAAGCCCATGTGACACCTCTGGTGTTTCAGGCATTCATAGGCTATGGTAACCATCAGACGGGCCGTATGCTTTTTTGCCATCTACTTAGTATAAAAAAAAGTCATTATATTAAATAGGTTTAACAACATTTCATAATTTGCGCTCACAGACTAGCAGATTTATATGAAGAAGAAAGAAAAATGATATTATTCGCATTCTTAAAATTTATAAATGTAGACTTAATATAAGATATTAATAATAAAAATTAATAGTAATTTTATTTATTCGGATAACAAGTTTCACATAAGTTAGTAAATAGAGTTATTTAAAAATAAATTTATTTTAGTAAAAGTAAATCATTAAAATGATTTAATTATTTAATAAGTGCTATGCAAAAAGTTTTTTTATAAAATAACATCTAATGAAATGTGTAATTTATACAAAAAGGTGACTGTAGGTTTAATGGTATCAATGCTGAAATAATAAAAAAAAACGATGCAATAAAAAGGCTATCAGAGTTCCTATAATACCTACTGCCCTAATTATTCTGTCTAATAATTAATTCAAAGAAACAAAAAATGTTAGTAGTTAGTTATCCTAGCTATTTACTAATTACTCCTGTTATAATTAAGTGAATGTAACTCTAGATTTGTCCAAATATTACGTATATATGTATTTGGACAAGTCCAGAGTCCAAATATAAATATACGAGTATTATGTTATCTTTGCACGCATTCATATTATCTGTTTATAGTAAGTAGATATATCTGTGCTCCTTACTGTGAGTTATGTAGTTGTTGGTAGTAATTTTAAATTGATATAACAATAAAGATAAAAATAAGTAGGCTTTCTGTAATGCTATGTCTGCATTCTCTAGACATCTTGGGGTGTTACCATAAATCATGTTTTTATTAATTAGTTATGTATATACATGACTAAATTATTGCCGGTGGTTTTGTACGTTTGCTATCATAACATTTTAAATAATTCATTTATACATATTAATAAAATTGGAGTGTCTGTTTGTAATATTGAAATAACCGTGTTTTTACTATATGCATATGAATATAATTACGGTACATATATCAAAATAACATTTTTTACAATTTTTGTCAGTCTGTTTGTTCCGGCTAATCTCTGAAATGGCTAGACCGATTTTGACGGGACATTTATTGGCAGGTAGCTGATGAAATAAGGAGTAACTAAGACTACTTTTATTTTAGAACAATAAGGAATGTTACGGACTAAGTCGCGGGTGCAGCCAATTATAAATAAACATTACAACAATTATTTTCGCTTTAAATTTAATTAATCCGTTCAGTTGTTTTGTCGTGAAATGGTGTTTCCATTTCAACAGACAGACTGAAGGACTATGTCCCCTAATTATATTTTTCTATACGAGATAGTCTTGGTTATGCGTTGATAGTACATAAGGACAAATTTTAATATTTCATTTATCAATTACCAATATAAAATGACTAAAGTGAGGTGTTGAATAGGTAGCGTTTAATAAAAATTGAAATTATGCATTAAATATATAAAATGAAAGAAAAGAGGCACTTAGTAGACACAAGAGGGTGAATTCAAAAAAGTTTTAATTAAATTTATACGCTCTTGTTTCAGTCCTTTTTAACTGACTTCAAAAAAAGTAGGAGATTCTTAATTTATGAACATTGAATATTTTTACACATGTACAAATTTTCCTTTGTTACCAAATTTAATAGTACCTTCAACTACGATTGAAGTCGGTTATTTATTTTGTCAAACAATATTTATAAGTGATAAAATTGAAGTTCAGATATTGTTTGTATTACACAGACCTTATGCTGTAGCTCATTAACGGAGTAACAGACTAACTCTTGTTACGATGCGTCGTCTTGTATTATAAGTATTTCATATCACTAGTTTATCAATCCTTAATTTAATGGTGATTAATCATATTTTTTCAGGATTACGACGAATCTGGAGTGTATTGGGATTATTTGGACTCATTGGAATAGAGATTTTGTTAATAGCTGTACCAATATGGGATCTCGGCAGAGAGCACTTGGCAGTAGCATCTTCAGTCGCAGTCACATGTGAAATGGTTAGTTAGTAATCTATTACTCTACTATGTAGTGTACGGAACTGCTTCTCACAGGTTTTCTAGCGCACAAGTCAATGGTCCCTATTGAGCCGATAATTTTGGGTCATTTCCTATTAAACTGGAATGGAAAACAAGCTCACGTAGTAAGCCATAACCGTCTGCTAAACATTATGGCGACATCCTGTGACACCTGCGGTACGTCAAGGACGTATCCTGTAATTTCACAATGACATATATCTCACCTTCACCGAAACGCACCCTCCAAACTGTAACTATAATTGTAACCTCACACCTCACGTAAATCTTTTAGTTTTAGTTTTTACTTACATAGTATTCGGCGTCTATATGCAAAAATGTATGTATATGATATAATAATCATAATATTTATGCTTTCTTTTTTATTTTCTGATGGACAACCACGAAATGGTATACCCTTCTGTGCCAATTAATGAATGAATGATTATATTATGAAGATGAAGTCCGGTTAGTTTTTTTTATTAATAATCGGATTGCATTAGCTCATTGTGGGTAATTGCCCTGGAATTAACCACAATGGTCTCTATAGTTACTGCAGGACAGTCAACCTCACTCACACAATTTGAACATATACCTACGAGTACTCTCATAAGCTGGTTAAAATTTGCTATGGACTAGCTTTTATTTAACCAAACATACCAAACAACATATATTTTACTAAAGAGGCAAACCGTCGCTACCTACACTCATAATTCAACGTCAAAGTAATTTGTTACTGTAAACTGCTAACAAGTTTTTATTAAAACTAAGTAAAATAATGTGAATTTAAATCTGCCTCGGACAATATAAATTCTTAATATTAATATTATTAAATAGCTTTTTCTATTTCGTACCATATTTATTTAGCGATTTAGAGATAGTAATGGTTTCATAAAATGATTTAGTAAAACTGAGTACTATTAGTTTTACATACTGTCGGTTACAAAGTTCTTAAATATCTTATTCATGTTGTTATTTTTACAAGTCAATTTGATATTTTTTCTACACCGTCTGTTGGTTATTATAATCTTCACATATCTGATTATAATCTACGTTATCAAAAAATCATATACGTTGTCAAATATATTATTTGCAAAATAAATATCATATAATATTACAATATCCCAAATAAATAGGATAAGGAAGAATCAGATGATGATGATGATAATATTACAATTTTAGAACAGAGTAGGTATAGAAATACAGATAGGGTAGTAGAAAAAATTATTAAGCCAATAGAATTAATTATTCATTTGAAAGTTGCTGAATTATGAAAAAAAAAATTAACTTGTCACGATGTATTTTTTCCAATTTATATCGACGAACCTATGAACGACGACGACGACGAACCTAACCTATAATATATACGATATTATATTTATAAGCCAACAAAATAGGAACGGTACCAAACAAAGACTCTTTTTGTGTACCTTATAGATTTGATAGATGTACCTTATTTTTATTCAGTATAATAACCAAATATATTATATATAAACATTTTTTTGCCATAAAAGAATACATCCTATACACGCAATCCAGTGGCTAACTAATAATACCTATATGTTACCACTACTTGGATTTGGGTTTACCCATGGGGTTAGCCCTTGGACCCCAAGAGATTACTGAAAGCTACATATTGGAGAAACTTGTATAAGTCAGTTTACATCAAAAGTCTATCCACAATTGCTTTAATCTAAGTTCAACTCTACAGCAGATAACTAAATCATAATTCTGTAACTCAGAAATGAGTTATGTGTGATGTGAAATGAATCTAAATTCTATATGTAATTTAGTGGGATAAAATTGATCATTTGGTCAAGTAATTGAATATAATTGTTACTTTAAGAAATTTACTTTCATATGCCTTTGTAAATAAAAATCACAGGAAATAATCTCATTTCACTGTTGGACTTAATTAATAAGAGTACCTTTGCGAAAAACACTGGAGTTAATGTTTTAGAAAAATAGGATACAAGGGATTGATGTAAACGTTAAGGGCAAAACATGGTCGAAAGTGAAACATAACATAAATCACCTGAGACCCTCGTCAGGACTGGTGGCCGGGCTAGTAAATAACGCCATCCACCGCTTGACACTGAAATACCACAAGATATGGTCACCTAAATTAAACCATATTGTGATACGTTAAGGTTTAAAATTCGTTAAATATGTTATTCTACCATCTCGACACTCACCGCCACCTGGCGCCTGTCGCCTGCCGAACACTCAAGCCATTTGTTATTTTATTATTAATAACTATTGAACTTAACTATATCATTTTTCTTTGTATGCTTATTTTTACTGAATTTCCAAAATTATTAAACTAGTCATGTCTGTCCGCTACCTTCATTTTAGAATTTCATGAAGATTTGAACACCATTTCAACCTCATACTATCATATCTCTTGAAGACGGGGAGTCAGAGACGTCCATATCGACTACTACTGGCTCTGAACTACATAAAATTACTATACCCATATAAACGCTTTCAAAATCCAATAATATATTCTACTACTCTCGTTGTATGCGTAACAAGAAAAGGTATCACAGTATTATTGAGCTTAACAGTTAAATGGCTGGAAACGGTTGGGTGGGCCATAAATATTTTCTCCGAACGGCCATAAAATACTAATTCAATTGCGGGTACATTATTGTCATTGATGGTCCCATAATTTATCATTATGAAAACATTCTTTATTTATTTTATTACTCTTATTTACCTCCATAACTTTAACAGTTTTTTATTTCAACAAAAATATCAGTCCATTGAATTAGGTGCCTGATAGGCTAATTAAACAGAGCGCCACGCACATTTTTAAGTCAAATATTTTTATATTTTCAGTTCAGATATGTAATGAAAATTCACGCTGTTGCTGTTTCATGTATACCTCGCTTCAGTGATGAGAAAATACCTCTTCCTACATTCAAAAGTTACCTGTATTTCTTGTTTGCACCAACACTAGTATACAGAGACGAATACCCCAGGTAAGATTTACATAAACAAAAGTTGTGCATTAAGCATTTTTTAAATTCATTTTGGAATGTTATCATTTGTACTTGAATACTTTTAAATTTCGACTTATTTTTAATACTTTGGTGTGTACTTAAACTGAAAGGCAAAAGAAAATTTAAAATTTATCTTTTTCCATAAGTTTTTAAAAGGAAGATAATAAATAAGTAGGTATAGAGCTTGGATGTTGGCAAGACAGGCATGACAAGAGACACGGACACAGACATGTTTTTATATATTTTTATTAGTTATTATATTATATTTTTTAAGCTTTTTAATTTTAGGCTACAGTTGTACAATTAAATTATGTAAATGATATAATTAGTTATTATTTTTGGACATACATTTTTTAAATAATGTCATCTAAAGAGAGTGGTACGTAAAAAACAACCCCTCCTTGGACAATTGTAGAGAAATACACCTAACAGGCTTCAGGTATCCAAGTAAAGTTTTACTACAGCAACATTACCCTATTTTTGTCTATGTACTTAGTAGTGATTAATTACAGTTAGCAATCTAATATCAAGATTAATTAATATTATCAGATAAATATTAGATTAAATATTTTGTCCAACAAACTGACTAATAAATTATAACTTTAACAAACATAAAAATTGTGCAAGAAGTGTATCCCAAAAGAAGGAAGGTTTCTGTTTCGACCATAAGTGAAATAGAAGTCTTAACTCGGTATTACTTAGTTGTTAAAAACAAAAATACAACTATAATAATATCTGAGTATTTTACATCTTCTAAATATACATAGAACATTCAGAGAGGTACCTACTGTAGGTAATTTCGCAGTTAAGGAGAAGATAAAACGATAATTATGATTTAATAATGAGACTAATTAATCAGAGCGAACGTTAATGAAATGTTAATAAATTGAGTCAACAGAATAGGTGTACTAGATATTAGATTGCTGTGCTTAATAAATTATGGTTTTGGGGAAAACTTGGACAACATCTAGGATTTAATCATTCTTATTATTTTTACAATATTTATTTATTTCTGCTGCCATTATTGGCACTGATATCTTGGTCAGTCAATAATAATAATGTAGGACAAACATTATTATTATTGATGACAAATCGCGCTATCTAGTCTCAAGCTAAGCAGAACAAGTATTGTGGGTACTAGACAACTAAAATACAAATATTAGCACCCCACGAGGAATCGAACCCGCAACATCGTAAATAAGGCGATGTAAAAATACATCCATACGTCGTGTTCAACTGAGTCACTAAAAAAATTGTCTCAAATTTTATTTATGTAGGTACTGTATGTTTTTTTTGTTTAACAAATCAGATCATCATTATCGCCGATTAGACGTTTAGTTTATTGCATACTTAGTAGCTAAAAATTAATGTTCATTAACTATTTTATTTAACTTATTATTTAATTATTATTTAACTATATTATTGTAATGTAATAATTTAATATTAATATGATGCACATTTCAGAACAAAGAAAATTAGATGGGGAATAGTCCTGTTTCATATATTGGAAGTATTGGCCATTATATTTTACAACAGTTTCCTGTGGGAGCGATTTATCCTACCTTATTGGTCGGATTATGGAAAACAACCCAAAGTGAGTCATCTTTTTCAAAGATTACGTTTGCTTTAGTGTCGCATATGGAAAACCTAAGTATACAGGATTGAATAAATCGATGCCCTCTGTATGAAAAGTGACTGAATGTTAAAGATTGAAATTTTACCTAGAAAATATTCTTTATTTTATTGCGAAGTAGTTTTACGATTATATTGACATGAAATTTTCTACTAAATTGGCGATTTAAGTAATTTGAAAACGGGAGCCTAGTGATTTAGCACACTGCTTTGCTACCGATGGTCGCGAGTTCAATTCTTGTACAGTACAAATATTCATATGCATAAGTACATTGTTATTCTAGGTATATTATATATTTATAATAAAAATGTATTTGAGTATTTCTATCAGTTGTCTAATACTGACAGCGTTGTGTGAGTTAAAAAAACAGACAAGCAGAACACAACACAATAGATACGCAGGAAAATTAATTTACTCTAATCTCGCTTTTTTCAGGTAGAGGCCGGAACCGTGGTTCGTAGCATGTTTGCTTGTGTACTACCAGGAGTGATATCCTTTTTGGGTGGCTTTTATTGTCTCCTTCATGCATGGCTTAATGCTTTTGCGGAATTACTTCGATTTGGAGATAGACTCTTCTATGAGGTAATATATTTTATACTTGTAGTTTCACTTTATCGAAAGAATATCTTTCCATTGTTGTAATATTCTAGCTGACTCGCTCAACTTGGTCTGTATCACACTGCCTTGACATTTATCATTATATTTCGTCCAATTATCATAATATCTTTTTAAATTATAGCTTATATGTCATTCTGATCAAAATCCGTTCAGAAGTTTTTGCGTGAAATACGCACAAACTTTTGCGTTTACAATATTAGTAAGATTATATAATTAATTTTGTACATAAAGGCATTACTATCTACTTCAAAATATTTTTTTCGCCAAAATTATAGCCATAGTCTTTTATATAATTTTAATAATTACGATAAATTAGTATCTATGTATATATAATACATACGCTTAGGTTACATGAAGTGCCAATAAATTCAATGACGTAGGTATTTCCGAACACTGAACCATATATTATTTTACAAAACTAAAAGACAGTGACGTAGGCGTTTCTTAATAATTTATTGTTTACTCATAGTATAAAACTATATTATACAGGACTGGTGGACTACATCCCGGTTTTCAAATTACTACAGAGCATGGAATTTGGTAGTCTACTCGTGGCTTCGAGATCATATCTACAAGCCAGTTGCGCCCGCAACAGGAACTATGCTTGCCACATTTATTGTGTTCTTTGTAAGTGGGTACTTAAAGTTGTTATTAAATTATTATTTGTTAAAACGTCACCGAAAATAATTGTAGGTATCTTTACGTACCTAAGTATTTTCTACTATTTTCCAAAATAACCCAATTGTTAATTTTTTATAATTTCTGATATCTAATTATGTCTGCTACAAATTGAGTCCCGTACTAATTTTGCAATGATTGCACTTTTAATCGATCGTCTTTTTAAACAGAATATCTTTAGGTACATGCCATATCAATTTAATGACAACGTAGAAATGTAAAAATGTACCATTAATTACCAGAATTACCGTTACCATATAGGAGTATTATAAACTAACGTCAATCATAAGTAGTTAGATAAGAGGATTCTAAACACAAACGACTGACAGCAAAGAATGAACAGGAAAATCTACCGCGAGATAACACAAAAAGAATAGATGGTAAACAACATTCAACCAAGAACCCAAAGCCAATTTAGATAAGTTAATTTCGTAAATTAGCCCGATTCAGATTCATGCGCGTTTGCGTAATGCGACGTAGCTAGTTTTGGAGGACATCAGAAGAAATAAAGTAACCGAAACTAATTGAGACTCGGCCCACTCGATGTTCAATAATTATCAATAAATTAGACGTCAAACCGGGCCCCAGACTACCCACATCCATTTTTAATGTCGATATAATAGAAAACAGCGATTAACTTCACACTGAGAAAAGTTGTAATGATCCATTCTGCAAATTGTTATTATAAAGAATAGATGGATATTCAATTAATGATAATAGGTAGATGGATATCTAATGGTTATAAAACTTTTTACCTAAGTAACAATATAATATGATAAATATAATTTTCCATAACACTCTCCTGATTAAATAATTTAAAATTTATAAGGTCTCTGCTTTACTAATGAAATTTATTTCATTTTGAGAGAGTACCGTACTGAAAATTTCTTCCTCTTCAAATAACTTAGTTTAATCACGATAAAACTTAAGCTGTAATCATAATTAAAGAGACGGATAAACCTAAAGTTAGCAAAATTGACTAAAAACACGTGCGGTAGTCAGATACCACCTAATTTGAAAAAACTACCTAATTAAATTAATTTTGAAAGACCGTCAAAGACGTTAAATTTTTCCAGTACACAAAATACAGGTACTTTTATATACATAACTAGTAATAATTACCCAATGATAAGATACATTTAAAAGTAGTTTGATCTACCTATCAAAGTGAATATTTGGAATAGGTACGGTTCAAATTCAAATTCAAATTCAAAAGCTAGCTACTTTCAAGTAGATAGGTACAATAGTTTGATTTTAGAAAAGCTGCAAGTAAAGGAATGCTATGTGAAATATTACTTTATGATATTATGTTGCAAGTAAGGTATGACGAAAAAGCACATAACTTATTTCTGTCTAGTGTTTAATTATAAACTTGACAGACAAGACATGGAAGTAATAGGATAACAATAAAAGATAACAGGTGAAATACAACATACTGTACGTTCATTTCGGGTAATACCTATTTCAATTTTTTAGGCTTCATCCGTGGCGCATGAGGTAGTACTGGCGCTCTCATTTGGGTTCTTCTACCCAGTTCTTTTAATAGAATTTGGTGTTTTTGGAGTTCTGTTGCTACCTCTCACAGATGCTATAGGTCGTCGATTCCCCCACACCCTAAATTTACTCATGTGGGTGTCCTTTTTCTTTGGAAATGGTAAGCAATATATAAAAATATTGAATATAAATCTTATCTAGGTGTTAGGTGCTATTGTAAAGAGCATAATAGAGAATTTTTTAATCTTATCATAGTAACATAAAATTTCATCTTTCAAGTTTATTTCTTTATTTGACGACCTCGGTGGTCTAGCGGTCTAGCACACCGCTTTACGTCCGATGGTCGCGGGTTGGATTCCTCACACGGCACAAACATTTGTATTTTTTTTTTTTTTTATGGATGATCATGGAATGGTGCACCCGCCTGCGCTAACGGTGTACGCTGGCGGACCAGTGGAGGATGATAAGATGAGCACGAGGTCAGGTCAGTTAGACCATCGTGACAAATTCACCAAGAATTTATCACGATGGTTTCCAGGGGGAACCGCGTGGAGGTCGACCTGACATGGTACATTGCTAGCAATGAGATCATTACTCCACATTACTAACAATCCCCTTTCCCCCCAAACATTTGTATTCATGAGTATGATTGTTTGTATAATATGTATGTACCTATTTACGAAAAAAAAAACTTGGGTCTAGATGGCGCTGTGTGAATTGTCCTGAGATTATTAATAATTAATAATATTAATCTATCAACTTCATTTTTTTTTAATTATATAAGGTATTCACATAAGTCTATCATTTTAGGTCTATTATGGAGTTTGTATCCAATGGAATACTTCGCTCGTCAGAACTGCCCACCTACGGAAAATGACAGCTTTTTCGTACCAAAATCGTGGTCGTGTCCGGAGATCCAATTAAAAGCCAATTGGACATTCCAAAATCCATTCGATATTTTACATTAGTACTATGTTAGGTATAGATCAATTGAGCGTGAAAATGTTATCTCAGCGATAAAAATAAAAGAAATTCTTACATATTTGTATTCACTTATTTACCATTTATACTCATAAGTATCGATCGATACCTTCCTCTTTACTAGATACAATCTTAAAACTTACGCGGTTAGACTTCTTTAAACTACGCTCACGATCAACTTTGAATTACAAGTAGGTATAATAGGTATACCTACATAGAAATCGCTAGTAACAAACTACAATAGACTAGTTGCTTCTCCACAAATACCTAACAAATAAAAGAATACATTATTATTATTTGTAAGTTTCGCTTTCTCAGCCTTTTTGCTGGGTTTTTACGCTTTGTGGCGTATATATATTAACGCGCTAACGGTTTACGCTGACGGGGCACCAGTGGAGTATGATAGGATGAGTAAGAGGTGAGGTCAGTTAGCCCATCATGGTAAATTCATCAAGAAATTATCACGATGGTTTCCAAAGGAAACCCCGTGGAGGTCAACCTGACATGGTATATTGATAGGAATGCGGGGAGTATTGCACATTGCTAACAATCCTTCCCCTCCTATATACCTATACTTATATACTTTTTTAATAAAATTTCATGACAAAATCATCAGCTGTATGCCTGTACTCATACTAACTAAATAACTTGTGATTAATAGAAGTGACGAAGTCGTCATGGTATTCTATAGGATACACGATTAAAATACGTATGTAGATTAAGGATAATTGATGCCACGTAAATAAAATTAAATGATAATAATAAGAAGCATATTTATATCATATTCATATTTATTGATATTATGGAAACTCAGTATCTCGTCTCGATTCTATTTTAGTATCTACGTAAATAAACTATGTATAGTACCAGCTTCCTATTATTAGCATTTAATTTTTATCTACTTATTTCCTCTCTAATCCATACCACTGAACACATTCACATGGGTTTATTTACATAATACATGACTTACGCAGTGCCTTATCTGATATTTTCCTTGATTTTAATAATTTTATTTTTCTATGCTATTTATTACCACTAAATATTTTTTCTCATCTTTCTACTTTGACTGAAGGTTCCAATTATACTAGTAATCAGTCAAACACGCCTTTACTTTAAATAACATTTTATTCACATAAAGAAATATAAAAGTTCTCTAAGATAATATAAAATTGGTTGCTTTACAAAATAATTTTATAGGTTTTATTTTATATAGGTACGATAAAAATTAATAAATACTTAACGGAAGAATTACTTACCTATAAAAATAATTAGATCGTGACATAAATGCTTTAATGCTGGACAATAATTTAATGAAATGCAATATCCAACCTTTAGCCTTCAGGTACTAGACTAATGATGTTTAGCCAATGTCTAACTAAGAAGTTGTAACCCATACTTCCTGGGTAATTTTAGGTTCACATTAATCTTCTCTGTGTAAGTACCACATTGTCCTACAGTCTTTATTCACTCCAACGTAGGTAAAGGGATTATAAAATGGAGAATGTATTTTTATGATAATATCATCCTAAAACAAGGCTGGACAAATGACATGTATAAAATCTTTATGCTGTCGTGGATAAACGCTCGCGGCTACACGCCCAATTATTTTTGTAAACGTATGGAAAATAAATTAGAACACACAAAATTAAGTATATGGAATTAATAAGAATAGTTGTAAAAGTCGAAAATCCTCAACGATTTAAAAAAAGGATTATAAGTACACAAGTTACAGATGTTGATAAATATATTTTACTTGTGGACATACTTACGATATATCCATACATTTGACACTTGAACATTAGACCGGACGAATTAATGAAAACTTCAAATAATACCTATACCATTTAATTTTTCAAGAACAACTACTTGACAAGAAAAGGATGAAACATGAACAGTACTGAACATATATGATGATATTATTGTAGTCTTGTCGAGAGTATGAATCTCATATCTAGGATATGTAGTCACAAGGGTAATTAATATATTAGCAATTTTAATACCAAATTACTCCTTTCTAATTTAAATGCTGAAATTGTGTTAACTATACTTAATCCCACGTGGGCGGTGAGCTAAATCCCTACATTTTGGCTTACATTATTAACGTCCTATAAAATTACGAGTTTCTTAAGATACTATTCACATGGAAACAATTTATTAAACAAGTAAACTGTTTTGTGTTGTTAGTTTAATAGAATACCTTTTATTTCCATTAGCTATAATAATTCATTTCATTTTTAAATCTTAATTGTATTGGACATATATATATATATATATATATATATATATGATATAATACATAATTACTATATCGGTTTATCATATAGGCAGGAAAGCTACACTTGTATGTCTGTAAACAATGGTCTAAAGGGCCGATTGCAAAATATATAAAATTAATTGTCTTATTGCATACTCACAGCAGTGTAATATAAACTAAAGTAACTGTTGTTTATAACTAGTTGTATAGAATATATATATATTATGTTATTTAATTGAAAGTTGCTGATTACTACAAATGGGTATTTAACTTATAAGGTGCAAATATAAAAACATTTATTTCTTAATACTAGTTAATATTATTCTCTACAGTATGAAAAAATATAGTAATTAAGAGACTTTAATAACCACTATATTGATACATTCTCAGGGGTCATAAGATAAGAGTAAATAGAAATTAACATAAAAACCTAAAACTATAATATAATAATAACATACACATAATAAATTGTCCATTATTATAATACTATAATACTGGAGAATTTATTCCTTACAGCATTACTATCTCTCTATAGGATCTCCTGCTTTCCCTCAATTTTATGGCCATACAGTTTGGCACCCTACAATGGCAGAATTTGTATTTTTGGTCGTGACATATCAGTTTTACATTTCATCTTTCACAGCCCTTACTGACTAAGGTACATTTACGTGTAACATGAACCTAAATTAATAACATATGTAATAGTATAAAATTCTAAAAATCTTACTATAATAAAATTCAGTGCATCTATATAATAATCAATATAAAAGTGACAATTATGTGTAGTAAAAATATATAATTGCTACAACCATGTTACTGGATGCATATTTTATTAATGTCTATACTGCAGGTGTACGATCCTGTTCCTTAAACAGTGATGTGGACATTCTGAAACATGAAAATATGTGTATAAATATAAATAATTTCCATAAGGAACTCAAATATTATAGGTATAAATCGACTTGTCTGCTATTGATCAGACAACACTAAAACTTCAGAATACATTTTGAAATTAAAAATAAAATTGTTTCCCAAAATTTCCACAAGTAACACAGGATTGAATTTCCAGCAGACAATGTCACAGTTAACGAGATATATAATATATTCTTAAGGGTTGGCATATGACATTCTTGATGTGATTACTGATTGACAATATCATTATTACACAATGGCTTAGTGTACTCTTATTCATGTTATTACAATATCTAGGAAAATTATAACTCTAATTAGTCACAATGTATTTACTTACTTGCTTATCATGTGGTCGTATATGAATGTTGGTATAACAGTAACATTTACAATGGATGGACTGGCGTCAATTACTCTAGAAACTTCCTTATCTTTCATGCCTACAACATTTATCGTGTTAATTTCCAGTATTTGGTGCTCAGTCAGTAAACCATTGCGAGCAGCAGAAGAGTCTTTAACTAATCCAATAATTTTCCCATTCTTGAACTGAAAACCGACATGACCAAGGGAATCCTTATGAAGTGTCACAGTCCTCTCAAAGGGCCTAAAACAATAATATTAGTAATAAATAATTGTGTTACTTTATTAAAAGAAACTGTTAAGTTTCAATTGTTTTACACAAGTTAGTTAAAGCAAACACTTCAGTTACAGCATCTTATCTACCATACCTATAGTAGCATAAAGTAGGTTCTAGTACAATAGGTATATAGTATATAGGTATGGATTATAAAGGATCTGTTTTGTACACATTATTCTAAAAGATCTTATTCCATATTGAAACAGCAAATAAAATGATAGTACATTTTAAGGTAAATACTATTTGCTTCTAAACATAAATAGCACTATACACATCTCTTTAACAGCTATGATATTACCCATAATAGATTCCAGAGGACTAATAATTATATATGGCCAATAATTTAACCGACATATACAAGCTTACAAATACTATGCAAGTATTATATCATGATGTTCATGTATAATAGTTGACAATTACTGCTTACCATCAGGTGAACCATCAGCTTGTTTGCCATACCAATTACTTAAAAGTATATAAAATAAATTACATATACCTATCACGGATAGCCATTGTAATGCCATTAACTGGGGCCTTCTTTAATAAACCATGACACTTATCCATTGACATGCCAGCAACTGTAACATTATTGATTTCCAACACTTGATCTCCGAATCTCAGGCCAGCTAATGCTGCTGGACTGCCCGTGGCAACGTGACACACAAAGATTCCATTATTGACTGAATGAAGTCTCAAACCACATCTACCATCTTTGTCTTTGCAGAGCACCACTTGTCTGATAGCCTGTGTGACTGTTGCTTTTTGTATTGTCAGTGACTGAGATGAGATTGGTGCTATCAAATTTGCAACTCCACCACTGGATTGGACCTTAAATATGTAACAAATATGATAAGCATGCTTGTTGAAATAGTATTATGATTATATAAATTTTTTTGTCAATATTCTACTTCCTTTTTCAAATTCTAACAAGATACAATAAAAACTATAATTGATCACACTGATCTATATGGAATATGACTAATATGAATATGATTGACTAATATATGTAAGCTTCTCTTGAAATGTAGTGTTTGTTTTATTTTTATCAATTTAGAAACAAATAGGCATAAACTCTAGTTGCAAAACACAATAGAATATACTACTAAAAATATATATATATATCAACTATGGCAATAATATATCTGTAATGATAAGCTATCAAACTTTTTTATTACCTTTGGGCAGTACTTTTTCCAATTTTTTTTAACATATATGTTAACACATATTTAACAACAAATTCTGTTAAAATTTTGTTATTTTTGTTATTTGCGGCCTTTTTAAGTGAAATATTAACACACAGCAGATACTTTTTGTCTTGTTAATATTTTATGATTGCATTACATGAAAAGCATATTTAGTAAATAATTTAAAAGCCATATAAAAATTTATAGTTTTATATTAGAGTTTAAAGTTTTTGTAATAAATTAATTTAAAAATAATAATATACAATAATCATAATTGACATAAACATTTTTACATAAGCTTTATTGTTCTGTTCATGTACTGTTATCACTTTGCCTACAAGTCAAGACGAAAGGTAAACAAATTAATAACAGACAACAATCAACAATAAAGAATCACAAATGTCTATAAAACAATAGAGACTTACTGGTTGTAACTGATATTCAGGCATGTTGAGAGCAATCACATTAGATGATAGCTCAAGACCCATATAATCTCCAAGGGCTGGATACATGTGGTGAGCAGGCGGGTTTGCTACAGGAGCACGAGATACTACGGGTGGGTACGCCCCACACGATGGCTGCATAGACTCCTGACTCAGTTGAGCCCTAAGCATATTATCCACCTTCATGTCTTCCAATGACGGATACAAAGCCATTATTCTGATTTATTTCTGAAACTGATATATAATAATAAAATATTTTAGGAGGGCGTAATGTACAAAAACTGTAATTTATTGCACAATAATCACAATTTCTATATGTGTATAATTAATAAAGTTAATGCATGTGGTGTTCATAGATTATGTATTTGAATAATCAATGGTAAATTACTTACGTATATTATTATCCGAAACGAATGAGTTAGACACGAATTTTTGCAAATAAAAATAAACTAAAATGTTTAGAAATGAATCATAGAATCACAAACATTTTTTTTTTTTAATAATGCTTTATTCATGAAGAATCACAAACATTTTTTTTTTTTTTTTTTTTTAATAATGCTTTATTCATGACCATGGATACAAGTCCTTCAGTCGAATACATTTTTGTAATGAATTGAATATAAAACATAAAAATTAAATCATAAGAAATAAACTATTACATAAGCTTAGACAGTACAATTTTAGTAATAATTCATTAATATTAAATTTTTCCACAGTATGTACAATGTAGTTATATATTGGAATAAAATATGCAAAGTGAGATAGCAAATCTTGAACGCGGCGGGGAATACTTTGTGAGTGTTCCTTTGCGATGTCACTAATGTCACTGACAAGAATCAACCGTTGTATGTTGAAAACTTGGCATTCAAATATAATATGGTTTATGTCAGCATTTATCTTGAAACAGTGGTTGCATCTGTTGTCATTTGTGATTTTAATTCTGTTGAGATGAGATGGAACTAAACAATGGCCGAAACGTAGACGATTGATGATAGTGATAAATTTTCTATTGTAATATTTGAATTTGCTGTACCAAGGTGTCACTGGTAAGTCTGGCTGTAATTCTGCATACCATTTTCCTTTATTTTCTGTGCTTATGGTCCAGTACTCTTTCCACACTCTTCGTAACTTACTTTTAAAATATTGGTAGTAGTCGGTAAATGGCACTTTCAAAATGTCTGTCTGATCTTCATCATATTGTTGACGAGTTGCCAAGTCTACAACCTCATTTCCAGGTATGCCACTGTGTGAGGGTACCCATACAAATTCTACATTCTTATTTTTACTTAAAGTTATTAACCTATTTTTTATTTCATATATAATATAATTTTGTTTATATGTACAATTGCCACTGGATAAAGTCTCCAATACACTCTTCAATCAGTAACTATTAGTATATTTACATTATTTACAAGGTTATTAACATATAACAAAGCACTTAATATAGCATAACTTTCGGCTGTAAAGATGCTGCAATTACTTTTGAGTTTAATACATTTAGTATATTTCTTTTGTGGATCATAATAAGCTGCTTTAACATCATTTAAATTTTTAGAACCATCGGTATAAATAACATAAAATTCTGATTTCTTATTTAAAAATTCTGCAAAGTCATATTTGTTATATATTAAATCTAAATGAAATGTAGTGTCAAGGAAACAGATTAGTGAATCATATGGACATTTGTATACTGGCCATTTGTCATTTATATATATTCCACCTGTAGCATTTTTAACATGTGTCATTATTATTGAAATTTCAGGTAATGATCCTGAAATAATAACAGATGCTGATATGGGGGAACCTACAACTAACTGAGAAAGCTGTGCAGGATATAAAATATTTTTAAGCACAATACTATTACTGGAAGATAATTCCTTTATACAAAATCTTTCTGCCAGTTGCAAACGTCTTAGAGACAATGGAGGTATACAATTTTCAACTTCCATACTATTTATAGGCGTGGAACGCATAGCTCCACTAATGATTCTCAACCCTATATTTTGTATAACATCTAATTTCCTCAACAACGTGGTACTAGCAGTCATATAGGCTAAACTACTATAATCAAAATGACTTCTGACTATGCTTTTATACAGTATATTGAGTGTTTTGGGATCAGAGCCCCAGTAAGTTCCTGCTAAACATCTCAAAATATTTATGCTCCTCATTGCATTTTGACAAATGTAATCTATATGTTTATCAAATTTTAATTTATTGTCCAAAACTATACCTAAAAATTTGTGTTGATGGACAATGGGTATTATTTTGTTATTATACATAATTTTAAGATTAGTTTGTGTGAATGTATCTCTACTAAATACTAACACAGAGCTTTTTTCTGAACTGATTTCTAGTTTTAGAATATTTGAATAATACTTTTGTAATTGATTTAGTGCAGTATTTATATTATTTATAGCCAAAGGCAAACTTTGACTCTCAGTGTATAAAAGCAAATCATCTGCAAACTGTAGTATATTAACTTTTGTAGTATCCACATAATTGAGGATTTCAGATGTATACAAGCCATACAATAGAGGGGACAGGGTTGCTCCCTGCATTGTTCCCCTGTTAACATATTTAGGTCCATGTAGGATATTATTATACTTAACATAAACAGTTCTGTTTTTTAAAAAATTAAAAATCCAGTTTAATATTTTGCAGGGGAAATTTAAATTATGTAGCACATGAATTAAGGATTCTATATTTACATTATCGAAAGCACCTTTAACATCTAAAAATACACACACAACATTGGAATGACTTAATTTTGCTTTTTTTAATAGGGATATAAGAGTTACAAAGCTTTCAGAACAACTTTTGCCTTTTCTGAATCCAAACTGAATATCTGGCAACTTATTCTGTGTTTCAGTAAAGTAGTCCAAACGTAATTTTAACATGTTTTCAAATAGTTTGCCTAGACACGATGACAAGGAAATGGGCCTATAAGATGATGCACAGTTAATATCCTTATTTGGTTTCAAAATTGGAATAACACACTGGGTTTTCCAGGATTCCGGTATTATTAAATTCTCCCAAAGTTTATTGTATATATCTAATAGTATTTTAATTGCATTTGGATGTAGCTGTTTTATTAATTTATATGTAATATTGTCCAAACCTGGTGTTGTATCTTTCCTACTCTTAAGCGAAATATGAAGCTCGGCCAGTGTAAAGGGTCTGTTGAGAAAGGAGTCACTGTCATTTTTATCAGATTGATTCAATATATCAACTAAATTTGCATCATTGCATTGTGATGGAGCTGTCAACATATCTAAGAAACTTTGTACCCAGTCATCATTAAAATTTTTGTTGGAAGATGTACCTATCCTTTTAAACTTTTTAATGGAACTCCATATTTTTGAAATAGGTGTCATTCTATTGAAGCTACTACACAACTCTTGCCAGGAATCTATGCGTTGTTCCTTTAGAATTCTTTTTTTTTTTAGCATCAACTTTTTTATAATTTATGAAGTTAACAATTGTTGGGGTAACTCTATATTGTAAAAGGGCTCTCTTAGACTGTTGAACAGCATCATCACATGTTTTGTTCCACCAAGGCACTGGTTTTCTTAAAGTGTGTATAGTTTGTTTAAACTATGATTTTGGTACTGTCTTGTCTCTGATGTCATATAAAATATTAACAAAATTATTATAAAATTGTAATGGTGTGTCATTATTTACATTATTATGTACATTTAAGTGGGAAAAAATACTTTCTGATAAAGAAAAATATTTCGACCAGTCTGCTTTATTATATAAAAATTTTTCTTCTACAGGTCGGACCTCATACACTGATGGCCTCACATTTACACTTACCTGAGTTGGATAGTGATAGCTGCCCATCGGGTCATCATGGACTTTCCACTCACAGAGAGGAGCTATTCGGGGACTAACTAATGTTATATCTATTGCTGATGCCTGCCTGTTTGGTGATTGAATGGTGGTTGGACTACCATCATTTAACACACATAAGTCAAGTTCATCTATGAGATTGTATATGTTATTACCTCTACTATTGTTTGTATGACAACCAAACAAAATATGATGTGCATTAAAATCACCCATAATGAGACATGGCTTAGGAGCACTAAGTAGAACTTTTTTTCAGTTTCTTGGTATCAAATCTTCCATTAGGAGGACAATACACACATAGTATGTTTAATTTGCCTATGGATGTTTCTATTGCAATACATATATTCTGAACTGATTCATAAAAAGTAGTAGTTATGATATTATATTTAAAATGTTCTTTTATTAAAATACCCACTCCATTGTGTGTATTTACTGAGTTTTTGAATATGAAATTATAGGATGTAAATTTAGGAATTTTACTGTTACTTTTAAGCCATGTCTCATTAATGAGACAGATATCAATATTTTGTTCATTTATGTATTTTTGCAACAGAGCTTTTTTACTCTGTAAGCTTTGTATATTAAACTGGGCTATATTTAAGTATGTATTCATTAAATTAAATTTGACAACAATATTTCTTTTATTGTCTTATTAGTTATTGACATTTTCTCTTTGTTGTTACCGAGAGCAACAAGAGATTTAACTAATGCATTAATTATAATTTCATTATTTACAATTTGATCTGCATTGAATGCAGTATTATTATTATTTACATTTTGTTTAAATTGTGAATTATATACATTTAAAGATTTCTCTAAAGTGGGATATACTTTTGGGGTTGTACTACTTGAGGGCATACTCACAACAGCGGCATAGGAGTGATTGACATATTTACTTCTTTTTTCTTCAATTTTCTTCTTTTAATGGGACAATCTCTCGAAATTGCTAAGTGGTTACCACTACAATTGATACAAACGATTTCTTCTACATCACATTCTTTGTATGAGTGTTGACCAGCACATGATGAGCACATCTGTGAGCTACGGCATACTTTAGCTGAATGGTTAAACTTCAGACATTTGTAACATTGGACTAATGGTGGAATATAAGTGTGTACAGGATATCTAAATAATTGTATGTAGGCGTATTGTGGTAAAGTGGTAGCTGCAAATGTGACGGCTACAGTGCCCAATGGAGATAGTTTTCCCTCTACTTTTTTCATAAAACGTTTGATGGATATCACTTCGGTATCACAACTAATACTTTTATAAATATCTTCGTTGGACATGTCTGTCGGTACGTATCTTATGATACCAGTTTTTTCTGTGATATATGCTGGTACAAAAGCCTTAAATTTATACTTGTTTAAAAAATTGTCCATTTTTAAAAAATTATTGGCTGGTGCGGGCTTTCGAAAGGTCACACCTATTTTATAGGCGTTTACTTGTGTACACCTGCAATGCCTTTCACATTTTCGGTGAATAACTTTGTTAAAGTAATGGGGTTTTTATTCCCAACTTTTTCATTTTCTGTAGATTCTACATAGACAACACAATCTACACTATGATTTTCAGGAAACTGTCTTTTGTAATTGGGTTTTGTATACATTTTATAGTCCTCGGATATAATTAAATGATTCGGCGACATCTTCCGTTTTTTGCCGCGTTGATATTTTCCACGGTCGACGGGGTTTCCCCCGTCGCTACTATCACTCATTTTCTTTGCTTGATTTACTATTTAGGTATTTACAATAAGATATACAATATTTACAATAAAATTACAATTAAAATAAAAAAATCAAAAAGGAGAAAATTTAAAACACCCGCTCAATTTGACTTCCCGCCAAAAAGTCAATCACAAACAAAATTAATAGTGTTACCAAATGACTCAGTTGTCTCCTTTATTTTTCCCCAGGTTTTTCCTACCAGTGTAGCCATATGACAATTTTGCTTTCTAACCGAATTTTGCCAAAATCTCAATAATATTCAGGTTTTTAGAAAAATCTCCGTCACAAAGAAAGATATAGTGACAATGTAATTTCTCAACATACTGAGTATTGTGTCTTATTTTTATCGCTTTTAAGTTATTGTTTTTATACACCATATGGTTTTAAGTTTGAATTGTACGGGGGATCAATCGGACGGGTGTCCCCTGTTGTTAATTTGGCACCACTACATTGGAAAACAAATACAAAATAATTTGCCAAAAAGCGTTTTTTTGGATCGGTTTTTCCCGTTTCACAGATACAAAAAACTCACGATACTCAATAATAATTGCTGAAGTTGGAAAAGGACTTGTATCCGAGCTGAAAGGATAAAACATATTAATAAAAAAAAATTGTGAAACTGTAAATATGTCAAAATTGTCACTTGCAGTACGTCAGTTATATTTATCAGTTAAGTCAGTCTGTCTCAAACTGCAGTTCATTCATTAATCATTATCATTTTTTTTTAATATATTTATACATTCATATTATCTTTTTTACTATAATTTTTATTAACTTAAATAAAAAATGTATATTGCAGTGTTCTTAATATAATTATGCATTGTTCTATTTTTAAGATAATCTGTTATATGTTTCACTGAGTTTAAATGGCTATGGAAACCACTACGAAGGCTCGCACCCCAAGGTATTCCAATATCTAACATAAAATGTTCAAATTTTAAAATGAATATAATGTATCTAACTATTAATTTATACGTATATCTTTAGCCGTTGCCGTGAATGGGAACGTCAGCGACGTAATAAATTCAATGAAGCAATATCGAAACTTGGAGAAGTCGTGAAGGCCATAAATAAAGCAAATGAAGCCTCAGACCACGAAGCAGATATACAATATCCTAAAATTGAAATTATCCAGAAGGCAATAATTTGTTTAACAAATTGTGATCAAGAGAAAACTCAATTAAGTGAGTTCAATGTGTGATATTGTTATCTTAAACACAACATTAATAGAATTGCCTTTATTGATGTTTACCAATTTGAAGTTTACATATTATAACAACATAATTTGTTGTACCTTATTTTTAAATATAAACTAAGTTAACAAGAAAGTACATACCAGAGTTTGATTATGTTTTATATTGTTTTTTTTCTATAGCATATTCAATAATTATGTTATTAGCAAAAGTAAATACAACAACCGAACTAGTAGTTGACGAAATTTATTTCATATTAATGTAAATTGATTAATGGTATTAACATTTCATAATTTATAGAAGCAGAAATATTGGCATTGCAAGTTAAACTGGATGATTGTATAAATAAAAAACTGAATTTTAAGGATGCATCTACCCAAGTTTTTGTGGGAATCAATAAAAAAAACCAAAGTAAGTATCATTTAAGCTTTTCTATATAATAACTTGCCCATTAGTTGACAACTGATATCTTTTGTTACATATGCAATTGCATATGTATATGTTGATTTTTATAGTTTGTATGGTTGTTTGTTTCTATTAACACAAAATAAAAAAGTGATGCAGTCAAATTTCTCGACCTTCTGGCAAAACCTATTCTATAAATAATAATAGGATTTAATAAATCATCCTAATATTATAAAGAGGACAATTGGTTTGTTTGTATTATACATATATAACGATTTGAAATTAATTTCATTTGAATAATTTTTTTTATAGATTGATCTTAATTAAATTACTTTTTGTGGGATTTTTAATACTAGAGGTTTTTAACTTAAGTATATTGGAAATAAATGTTAATAACATTTATTTAATGCTATCTTTACTGGAAGTATTAAAGTGATTTTAATAGTGTCCCATTTTTTGATAAATTGTCTGTTTTATTTGAGCCTATTTTTATATGATTTATTATATTAAAACTAATGATTACTATACCATGTTTTTTTTTATTCAAAACCAATATTGTTAATTGCTACTATTTATTATAATTAAATTTATATTTAATACCTTTTATATATTTCAAGTAATTTTCCTCTTCTATTACAGGTAGTAAATATATGAAGTTAATGATGCTACAGAAATCTAAACGTAATGCATTAAAAGAAAAATCTACACTTACTACAAATGTAACTGTTAAATCTAGTTCTGAAAATACACACAAAAAGTTAGTGTCCAAACCAGTTACACCAGCTATTATTTCACATAATACACCAAAATTGTTACCAAAATTAAATATTGATAAAAAAGGTATTTATTTAACCAAAAAATATAAAAATAGTAAGGTAATTTAGTTTTTGCTAATTTATTTACTTTATTTGCTTCTCATTTTTCAGGGCCAGAAAATACAATTGTTGTGTTACCTGCGACACCATATATTTTTCCACAACGACCGCTAATATTTCCTACTGTTCCACCAGCATTTGTGATTGTAGACAATTTGCAATCACTAAATAAACCATCCGCTCCCGTTGTTAATAGAAATAATGGAGATATTACAAAAACAACCATGGTTAATATATTACCTATATCAGCTTATTCTCGTCCTTTATCCGCAATCGATATCACGAAAAATAAAAAGAATAATGTAAAATCAAAAAGCGATGTTTATAAAAAAAGTCATAAGAAAAAATCTACATCTAATATTGAAAAAGAAATAGCTGTCCAAAATACATCAAAAAGCCACAAAAGTGCAACTGATAGCAAAGCAACTAACAAAAAAAATACTGAAAAATATCAAGAATCCAAAAAAGTTTCTGAAGAAACATCTAGCAAAACTATTACACAACCTGCTACTAATCAAGAGTTATCCATTCCTGTTAGTAAAGACAATGAAGCCAATTCTAAAATGAAATCAAAGGAATCTGATTTTCCATCAAAAATTGTTGAACCAACAAAAACTAATTCAGAATCAGTTATAATGACAAAATTACCTGCTATTTTAGAAAAGAATACTAGTGAAATTCAAAATACAGTTGAAAATAACAAATTTACTAAAGTTGCGTCAGAAATAGAAACTCTTACAGAAGATAAAGATAAAGAAAATAAGCTACCTAATATTTTAGATACTACATTATGTGACAATGTTGTCGATACGGGAAACGCACGCCTAGAGCTCGCAGAAGAATTCTTAGCCGCATCACCGACAGCCGCATTTCTTATGTCTTTTCCATTAGTAAGTGGTAATAGAGCAGATAGTCCAGCAGAAGAACCACAAAGTACTGTACAAACTAGTATTAAGGATAATAGTCAAAGAAGAAATGATGCTACAACACAGCCTGTTACTTTTTATGAAAAAATGAATGCTACAGATATTAAAATGAAATCTACAAATAAAACTCAAGCACCATCAAATATTTTGAATAAACACAATGAACAACAAAAGTATACAAATACAACAGACAGTGGAGACAATGTCAATTCTAAGGAAGTCAATGTTACATGTAAAACTACCACTACTGCCGTTTTAAACGTAACTCATGAAAATCCTTTTTTAAACTTACCAATGTCTACCTTAATATCAACTAATTGTACGTTATCCGACTCTACATTTGGCTTAGATTTTGATTGTAATATTAGCAAATCAATTTCAAATCAACCGACAAGTTACGTTAGTACTAACAATTTTTTTTATAAAGGTGACCCTTTTAATACGGTTAAAAGTACTATTTATAGCACAAGTAATATTTCGTCTGGTCATGAATTTAATAGCCTTGGCTTGTATCCTTGTGCAATGGAAAAATATACATCTAAAAACAAAACGGATTATACAAATGTAGAAGACAATTTGATGAAGATTGGTTCATCGAGATTAACATATGATATAGACCTGGGATGGTCTCATAAAGGCTTCGATTTTGTAAATTGTACTACATCGACAAATACATTTAGCAAAGATATACTAACCACGGTATCCGCACCATATTCAAATTCTTATAATCCTTTTAACCCTGAATTTCAGTTCCCTCTAGTGACAAGTTCTAATAAGAAAGATTCAAGTAAACCAAATTCAACTTTTACTGACACAATAACAAGTTTTTACTCACAGCCCACTAATTTATGGACTGATGATGTACCATTTTATACCAACAATAACCATGTTCCTAAAACTTTGAATGCCAAACATCAAAACTATTTACCTTCAGAAAATATGCAGACGAATATCAGTTTGAAACCTAGTAATAAGCATTACGAAACGAAGCAAATTTCGGAAACTGTGGTGGAAAATGGTACAAAATGTTTAACCTTACCCCATCAAGCATCCGAGAAGTATACTAAAAAATCGCCCAGTAAAATGCACATTAATTGGATGACGTCAGAAACAAGACCAATGACAAATCATTTTATCCCAAATCATATGGATGTAAAAGAAAACCACAAGGTTTCTTATGGGCAACTGGATCCGTCTCAAATCACTAAAAAGCAAGAACATAATGACACCAATTACTTTCCTATTTCCATGCATAACTTTCCTATGCAGAGTGGATTAGAAGAATTACAAGTATGGCCCTCGACTAGACCGGTAGGACCAACGGAAATAAGTATTGAACCTCCACCCATAAATTTGCCAACTTTAGTTGGCGATCTGGCTTTAGGTCCTCATGATAAAAAGAAAAATTCTGAACTCGGAAATCGAGGAATACCACAAACAGATATACAGAATTGTAGTAATTTTCTGTCTGTTACACAATTAATGAACCGTTCATCAGACAGTATTCCGTCTCGTTATCAAGCACCAAATATTGATCTGTCAAAATCAATTGCATCAAAACAATCTATAACACATTTTACAAATGAAACGAATCGTAAAGCTATGTCTACGCGAATAGAGAGTCAAACACAGCCCTGTTATACATTCAATGATTCAAAGACAATGAATTCTTACGAGAATGTGGTACAATTTTCACATAACAAGCCTAAAACAAATAAAACTGATAAGACTTCTAAATCTCAAAAAAATAGTTATTCGGCAGAAGCCTTAATACGAGGTGGTTCTTGTACACAAAAAACCCAAGATAGCAGCGCCGTTAAATTTATGATGCCATCACAAAAATATAATAATTTCAATGGGCCGCAAGAAAATAGTATAGCACAAGTTTCACACTTTCCTCCTATTTTAGATTACACAGATAATAGTTACGCCGGTCAACAGCTTTCTGGGACCACGTTGTATAATAGTACCACAAATACGATATCAAATTCGTTTTATTCTAATTTTATGCCTGGCAGCAGCAATTTAATGTCTGGGAATTACACGAGTGGCCCATTTCATGGTGAATTTATAGATTATAACCAGACTCCAGAATGCAGTTACACTAATCATAAGTACGAAGAATTGAAAATGAGAAATAACCCGGCTGTGTTTCAGCAACAGGATAAAGTGCCTTCCAATTATAAGAGCTCGAGACGAGAATCCGCTGCTAAACATAAATTAGAGTGTCCTAAAAAAGAATCCAGTAAAAAATATCAAAGTAAAAGATCTAAACTGAATAATGATGTAGATGAATGGAATGACCCGTCTCATTCATTATGGCAGAATAAACCTCCATCTAAAAGGCATTCAAATTTGATGACAGATGAATTAGGTTTTCCCAACTATGTCAGTAATCAAGTTCCTACACAATACCAGTCCGATTTCTTTAACAGTCATTTGATGTCTTCAAGTATGCCAAGTGTAGGACACAATATTGAGCGATCACTTACAAGTCTACCAGTTACATCACGGGCTAACTTCAACCTTAGCTCAATATTTCCAGAAATAACTATGGTGAGGAAAATGTAATGTGTTGTTTTATACATTCTTGTTACTAATTAAAATTCTTAGCAATAATTAAACGTATTTTTTGTTTCAGAAAGTGCAATGAAAAATAATGAATATGAAGAGATAGGAGAATTTGCGCATCTGTGATTATGTTGTCTCTTATTATTATTATAAAGAAATATTTTATTGAAATTAAATTATTATTATAACAGAATATAAATGCTTTCTTTCATATCCTGTATTAAGAATAGTATTAATATTGCTGAACATATAGGACTTGTCACCGTTACATGCTTTTTTGCACTCATGATAGGAAGTGGTAACCTTTCCGATACCTATACATGAACAACACAATTGACATAAAGTTATTATTTTACACCCAAGGTAGTACTCATGCATTTTATATTACACTACACATTCCGAAGGACTAAGAGCATTTCTGCGCCGTTACTCATGAGGCATTACGTTATGTACCTGGTATGCTAGTATCTATAAACACTATGAGCTATCTTTTACACATTAAATTACCATCACGTAATGTGCAGCAAATAATAAGGTACCTATAGATTTTGTAAAGGCATCAAATGATGCATAGTGACAACACTATGGTTTGATAACCATAGTAGACTAGCAATCTCCTTCCCCGTAGCAGTGTTGTATTTCTAAAATAATACATAATATCGCAACTTCCAACAACATTATTATTTTATTTAGTAATTTCTTACATATGAAATAACGAATTGTGAACCCTTGTTGTTGGAAGTTGCGATATTATTTATTATTTTAGAAATACAACACTGCTACGGGGAAGGAGATTGCTAGTCATGTGGACTAATCATCCGGTTCATCATCAGGTTAACCTCCACGCGGTTCCTCCTGTAAAACATCGTGATAAAAAAAACTGGTAACTGTGTCCTGATGGCCTAACTGACCTGATCTCATTCTCATCTTATCATCCTCTACTGGTGGCCCGCAAGCGAAAACTAGGTAGGAGCAATATTACATTTACATCAATTAAAGAATATAGGTATACAGATACCACTGCTGTAACCTTTATCTACATAAACTTAATCCTTAATCGTTAACAATATTACCTATAAATGCAAATGTAGGGATGTTTACGCTTTCATGTAAAAACTACTGAACCGGTCATCATGAAATTTTTTACACATGTTCTTGGAGGTATTAGAATGAACACAGGATACAGTTTAAAAAAAGCCTTTTTAGCCAGTTTTATTTAATGCGAATGAAGCCGCGGGTAAAATCTAAACGCGAAAGTTTCTGAGTGTATGTTCATTACTCTTGCGCGCAAATACTACTAAACGGATTTTGATGAAATGCTATATTTTATTTGGATATGGATAAGGAAGGATGAAATTAATTAATTAACCTACATTGTTTTCAGTATCGGCTAAATTCGATCTTATGGCGATTTTAACGTTTTGTGTAAATACCTATGCTTGTTCATACATTCATTATGTTTATTCTTAGTAGCGTAATTTGGCAAGAAATAATTCTTGTCTATCAATACGCTCATGTATAAGCTAATTCTTATTTAGCATCTGCTTTAAAATCAGGAGCACGACGTAAACTGATCAACTTTAAATTAACTTGGAAACTTTCTATCCTTAAGCAATTATGTAGTAGGGGGTAATGTCCACATTCTTAACGTAGTTTACTTACAAGTTGTACAACTTCCAGTAAAGTGTAAACTATCTAAAAGGATAAGGGTTACTTTATTACTTACAGGACATTTATTTATCTTGTGCACCTGTTTACTCCGGCATCGACTTTTGTAATTCCATTCTCGTTCTGGCGATAAAACAAATGTGCTTTAAATAGACAAGAAAATAATGTATTTTTTTAGTAAATGATAATAGTACAGTGCACCAGGTTGCGTAAATGGTATAGGCTGGCTAGGAACCAGTGGAGGATGATAGGATACGTGACATCAGGTCAGTGAGCCCATCGTAATGAGTTCATCATGAATTACTAACGATAGTATCTAGGGAGAAACGCGTGGAGGTCGATCTGATATGGAACATTCCTAGCTAGGCATTAGTCCTTATTACTAGGAATACCTTTACACTCAAATGAATAATGAGGTCCGATTTCGTATTTTAAAATCTAATATAGGTATTTAAATTTAGATACAACATAAAATATGAATTTTAACGAAAATTGTTCAAATGATTAAATATCCCAACAGGAGGGGAATATTCACAAATATTACAATAATTTTACAAATATTACTGTGATAAGAATGTGGGGAAGAATTAAAAATCCTGAAAATAGTGTGATGTAATTTCTGGAGGACCTGGAAGGACTTATACAAAGATACCTATAGCTTGTCTTTGCGCGAACAATAAGTGATCATTGCTCATATGGTATACTACAATATATTATATTTCTAAACTGAAACAAATATTTACTTACCTAAATATTTAGATGTAGGTACATAAAGCCAGTCGAGATGATTTGTGTTTATAATACCTAAATTATATATTTAAGGCAAGAAATTGCTTCACAAAGACTAACGATAATTTTTATAATGGTTCCTGACTCGCACAGTCTTAGAACAATCCAGATAAAAACATGATTAATGATTGCCTCCATCTTCCATATTGTCTGAAGTTTTGGAATGAACCCAGCTAGCAGATAACGAGGTTTTTTGATTTACATCCTCTGCTAATCCACAATCCAGGAATTTACCACCACCACAGTTCACGTGACAATTTCACTAATATAAATAATTGTAGAGGAATCTTTATGACGATTGGTTGACCAGAATGCTAGGTGAGAAACACATTTACACCTTAATATCAGGCATAAAACGAAACTATGTTTGTTAATTAGTTAATCTTTCATGCCAAACTGTTATTATAGTCAGCAGATTATAATAACTAATCTTTTTGAAATTGATAAATATGGAATGGCACTCTGTGCTCGTATGTGTACTAATAGTACGCTAACAAAGCCACAGTAGAAGATGAAAGAATGTCGAAATTAACCAAAAAGCATAGTGGTGAATATACCAGTTATCAACGACAATAATTTTCTAGGGGGACGAGACAGGGTAGTATACTACAAACCAACAATTATTAACTCCCGTTACGTACAATCTATAGTACCATTGACTAGCAGTATACTAGTAGTATAGCATTGACTCGAATATTTGGCAATGCCGTGGCTCACTTTTGGTAATGGCAGTGTCTCTTGAAGACGAATCAATAAACTGAGCTACTGACTGAGACGCTATATGATTTTTATTTGTTTTGTCCATTAACTCATTTCAGTTGTATTGCATCTATTTTTGTTTTGGTGTATCTAACGCATTAATGTGAGCAGTTAGAAGTTAGAATTTTAATTTTAATGTTAAAATTATCCCTATCCCTATGATGGAAATTCTTAAATATTAACGTATTAATGAAAAAATAAGTCAAACAATCATCACAAAGGGTTGGTCAGTTACGTTGATGGACATATCAAGTGTTGCATTTATCATGATATTTACATTTGATATTGCTTTTAACTACTCCAGAGATAACAGTAGATAGGTATACAATTTTATTTCGTACCTGAATGATTTAGAGTTCTTATCATAAATATTTATCTATTTCTATAGCGGTTATATGATAATTCTATAGACCACATTAAGGTAGTATATGGTGATTAATAGAAACAGCATGAGGTATACCTCTTATTAATATATAGAGGTAGGTAAGTACTATATCTACAGGCTCCGTTTACGTTATTACTTAGTCACCAACTCAAACAAGTATCTTGCCTAATGATGCATATGATGTGTTTGTATGTATGTAGTGCAACAAGCATGTTTACCTTGACCAGGCTTCGTACTTTGTAATTCATTCATGCTAACTTTCTGATAATATTCTCTATCATGTCATTTTCCCGAAGGTGTCCTTAAGTAAACGGAAATTGCTAAATTAACTACATTCTTTGAACTTAACGTCTATATTCGATTACTTCATCTTAAATATTTTATAATAATTAAATAATTACTTTAGAATAATAGGTATTGCCTATTATTGTACCTACTTGCTTATTTATCTGTATATAAGTAATATAAGGAAAATAGTAGATGATAATAATGCATTAGAACTAAGTTTAACTTACCTATTTAAATATAAAGTAAAATTATTAAATATAAAATTAATTGTTATGTAGATACTTATATAGGTAGTAAGTACCATAGCAATATTATGATATTAAATATTGTTTTAAACACAACTAATAACTAACTAATTCTAAGTAGTATTTAAATATTGAAATAGGCTTCCACCAAATAAATAAAGTAACGTTTTGTTTTCATTTAATAGGAATTGAACCACCTTTTCATACCTACCTATTTTGCCACCCTTTCTTTCGTACAGTAAACAAAGTCATCCGGCATATGGAACAAATGGTATTAAAGTTACACTATACACTACATAAGTGATAAATCTTTTTTGATAAACAGGATTTATGACATTATGATATTATTTATATCATAATGTCATAAATCCTGTTATATTTTTAAAAGAAATTGTCTTCATATCAGGTTTCTTTCGAGGTAGGGACAATACCGGCCTAGGCACAATACCGAAGATCAACAAACGACGTTTATTCCTTACATTTTATTCTTTGACTTTACTTATATTCCGCATCCTACATCATCGGCTCTAATTCATACATATGGGTAAAATTCAAATAAAAATAAAATTCACATTTTTATACGTTTACAAATGTATTGTAAGTTATTAATTTTATTAATTAAAAGACACTTATGAAGTGACATATTTAGTACCACCCATATTGCAGGGTTAATAACTGACTGAGTCATAGACAGGTAGATCATTTTCGGCTAACTATCGTCACCGTCACCAGTCCGACCACTTCACCAGTCAGTAACCCACACGCACTCAACACTCGGAGTGGAGTACTCCGACAGTCAGTCGCGAAATATCGGCAGATGTTAACAGTCGCCCGCTGAAACTGAACATACACGCCGCGATCGCGGTCTAACTTACGATATGGCGGGAAAGTAATTAACTAACTTTTCAAAAAATTCATGGTCGTGACACAGCATTACATAAGTTATGATTTAAATAATGAACTAATTGTTATTGTTGAGTGAATTTGGAGCAATATCTTTGTTAGAACATGAATGTTTCGACTTTGAAAAAGGTAAGACTCAAGAAGTACAGATGCCTAAGTAAATCTATACAAGCTCATAAAAATATTGTATTTAAAAGATATAGATAACAAATTGAATGGAATAATTGAACTAATTACTGAAGGATTATAGTTTAAGATTTATAGGTAGGTACTGCAGAATTACTAACGTAAAAAATTAATTATTCTGCCAATATTTACTTAATCGACAATACACACATCGATATACAAAACATAAAAGGGCAAGAATTAATGTTTTGGACCATATATAATGCATTTAATTTTAAATAAGACAAAATTTTAATTATTTTCACCAAAGCTTTTACTTTTAATCAATTTATTTGGAAATATCTATGACTTTATCTGACGCTTATTTACGAAGGTATTAGGTAATGCTTTATAATTTATACAGGCCTACATCATATACAAAATATAACATTCATAAAAATCCCTTGGTGATTAAGATGAGAAATATTATTTATATTTCTCATCCTATTATAAGTAGGTACTTCATTCATTCACATAGATATTTAATTTCGAATGTTGCTTTGTTGCATAACAATATCAATAAATCAACTAAAACTTGCTCATTTGTACAAAATAAAGTGATCTGAGCGAGACCTCATTGATTTATAGTAGTCATCTGTTACCTACGACTACATTAGACATGGCAGGTTTTAAGTTTAACGAAGACTACTTAAGTAACTTTACTAGGCTTATGTAACTATATTTTCCATATTGGTGGCAAAAAACATACAAAAAGAAATTAGATACTTTCATGTTCTGTTAATTGTTTTTTAGCAAATTATTAAATTAAGTACCTAAGTGAATAGTTAGGTAATCAATAATTGTCATATTATACAATAAGGAAGAAACAATAAACTTGCTCTCTGATGGCGAGTTGTGTGATAAAAAACTAGATATAAAAGTAGACATAAGCGTGTTATGAAATCCAAAGGACATTTTATAGAAAAATAGGACTCAAATATGACAAATAGGAAATAAGTAAAGACTGTTAATTATTTTAAAAGAGCGCCGTTATATATACATATATATATATATATACACGTATATTAATATGTCGTAACATAAATATTAGTAAATTCAAGCATCTTGTATTAGTTCAACGTATAACAGAGATACATATGTGTTCATCATATGATGTCAGTAAATCATTCATATCTCTATAGGATTTATTCCAGATAGGAAGTAATTGTTTTTATTCTCTGGAAGGTCAATATTTATGTTATTCAAAATCGGTTGTAAGGGTGTTTTATTATGTAGATAAAAATACTTAGATATATTTTTACAGTCTTTATTCAGACAAAAATCTAAATTCAATTAAATTGTTGATTTTTAGCAAAAGCGTCTAAAGTACAGGCCTGTCATTTGTACCTATACTGCTGTTGAAATATGCTACATCAATTCTATACGATTTTAAAAGTAATTAAATAATGTATTTACACAATTATTTATATCAATATACTTACTTATATAATAGATATACGACTAAAAGTACCCACGGTTATAGGGATATATACTAACCCACTATCTGACCCGCGCAACTTTTTCTGCATGACACCTACTAGACATTAACATTATATTTCACCCAATTTAGTTTCATTAAAATTCGTTCAGTAGATTTGTGTAAAAGTGTAACAAACGTCAATCCGTCCATCCATACTCACAAACTTTCGCGTTTATAACATTAGTAAGTTAATAATATGGTACTTAATCTAAAAACATCTAATATCCCACTCCAAAACATGTATATAATTACTACGCCCTCCTTTCTATGATTTATTTTAAAGTTAAACGAGTTCAATATTGGAGAGATATATATAGTTTCTCAATATGTAAATTGATGAAATGAAACATGATTCTTATAAAAGAATAATGGAATTTTTATTTTAATTATTATTTGTTGCAATGCTATTAAATTAAAATTAATTATATATCGAAATATCGTTTTTCATGTAACTACCTATACGTAGCTATTAAGAGATTCATGATAAGTAAAATCTATCGTCAGTTCGAAATGTACATACATTTTGAAATATATACATGTATTTGCTTTATAAGTAAATTGTGAAATTTTACAAATAAATTTACTATACCTTTGTGCTGAAATTTTGAATACTTAGGTATAAAATTTAAAAGAGATAAGTTGTCACAATAATTACTTACATGTTTTTTTTATTAACCTAACCTACATGGTTGCTACTACATTTTATAAAACGATAGAAATGTATTAATTAACTATCGCTAAAAAATATTTATTTATTTAAAATCCCCGTTGCCTGATGTTAAATGTTTCTAACCTATTTACACCATTCTCCAACTCCTTAACTGTAAACTTTAGTATATCTCGGACAAAATTACTGAGACACATAGTTCTATAATATAGAGTAAATAAGTACTATGTGTCTATACTACTATTGTACGTGCACAATCATGTAATATCTAAAACAAGTTAAGGCTACATGTCCCAGATCTCTCATACAAAACGTTATACCAAAAAAAAAATAGACATTAACTTAATGAACTCCATGAAATTTGTCCCTAAGATAAGGCACTAATATCAACGTTTCACTTTAGTCAGAATTTCTTTAAACGACTTGGTTTTAGATATACGCGTAACTGAAAACTAAAGATCTTTACTAAAAAATATATGTTTTTACCTCATAATATGATTATGTAATATTATATTATCTGTGGTATGATTAATCCAATACAGTATAAGTATTTAAAAAAACGTGCGAGATATTGTAATTACATTTTTTTTTTAATTTAGTGTAATAAAAAAATTATCCATGTAGAGCCGGCAAAATATCTATTCAAAATATTGCTATCGCGCTTGTGTAAGGGAAACGAAAGGTCTGTAAAGGTCTGTGAATAAAACATTGTAATAGTATTGTGCGTACACACTCCTCTTAACATGCATTAATATGTATCAGGCGAGGTAATACAACAAGAAGGCTGCGCGGGCGCCCGCTATCTAATACAACTACCGTCATCATACGAATACATTGTTCGTTCATGCGGGTCCGTTCGATGGTACCGACAAGTGGAGCTCAGCGTGCATACAAATGACGTCTTTTCTCTTGCCAAATACCAAAGCGAGTGTAATTTACCTTTAAATTAACATTTTTGCCATTATGTACTTACGTGTTGTCATGAACCGGAATAAAGTATCACTTTTTCTATGTCTATGTGACAAACTACCTCGGAGCCGTGATGATCCAACAACGGGTTGTATTAATATTAAATTTAGTCTGATTTCTCTGTTTTTCAAAAAGTATATAAAGTGTATAAATAAAAAAGTATAAAAAGTATATAAGTAAATAAAGTGAATAATTTAGAAGTACGAAGAAAAGTGACAAAGCCGTCAGCGGTCTCACCTATTTTAGGTCCTAGGCAGCTTACTTCGTAAGCTATATTTCGGTTGTAGGTTGAGATTAGGCAGTGAAATTACCGGATAAGAAGGACGACATCTTCGTCCTCTGGAATAGCAATTTTTGTATTACGAGTCTCATATGTCTGTGGTGTTGTTCGCGTATATAGGCGACGGTTATCGAGTACCATTAGTTGGGCCATTAGCAGTTTGATTGCCATTCACATATAATAAAAAAAGTTAGAACTGTAACTGTGTATAGTCGGCTCTTATAAACATCTATTTCTTTTATCAACTAAACTTAAAATATTACAAATTGTGACGAAAGTCGCTATATAGCACTTACCTATAATGTCAAGATATAAAACTAAAATTAGGTATAAGTAAGAAATAAATCATAGCGATCAGAGCAGAAAAGTCCTTAACAAGAGAAAGGATAGAAAATGCAAACAAAGCTCGTGCACGCTGTTTGTCTTTGTCTACGTAAGTAAATATAAATATAATATCACAGTCATATGTATAGTCATAGTCATCTGAATTTTGAAAATCGCATCGGTAGTAGGTACTGTAGATTATTCCAGTCAACCAATCCAACTCCCAATTTTACTTTTTCTATTATAATAGTATAAAATATAATTCACATAGTACTCTTTATAATTACACTCGAAATATTATGAATTACATTTTCCTCTTTGGCGAGTCTTATTTGTAGAAACATAATAAAAAAGTATATTTTTATTACGATTCTACAAACTTTCTCCAACTTTTTTATATTTCCACTCTTTAATTTAGATGCTACAATCACGTGGTGGACATCTTTGGAACAAAAATAGGGTTCTGTGGAACTGTAGAAATGGTTGAGAACTAGATAAATATTAACCTACTTATTAATGTATATACATATATAACTGTATAATATGTAGCACACACATGTGACCTATCATCAGGTATTATCTATTATGAATGTTATCTACTTACAGACTGACTCTGAATAAATTAAATTATTTGTCTAGGTTTCGCTCTCGGAAAGGGTTTTATCTATTTCGATATACAAATGGGTCAATTGTTGTCATTGGTGATATTCTCAGTAATTGTAATCAATATAATAAATCTATTATGTCATGGTCTAAAATCTAAATAAATATTTATTCCTTTAAATCAAAAAATATTTGTTTTGGCCTCCAGTTACACCTGATATAAGCTCTTATGCTTTTTACTAGGTAGGTATTTCTTTTAAAACTATATATACATACAAATTTTATTGACATTTATTAAGAAGACCTAATATTTGATATTTAAATACAATAAACCGACGGGTATACTTACATTTTAATTACCGATATTATGTACCTCTATAGGCAGCTATAATACATATGGCTGCGCAATATGATTTGTTCCAACAAACTTGCTTTATTTAGAAGAAAATTAAAGCAAGCTTGTTTCTTGTAGTCAATATATACTGGTTTTTGAAAATATTTTTTAGATGACAGCTACATTTAAGTTGAGATTGTTCACTAGCTATCTATACCTACTCACACGGCTGATTTAACTCGCCTAATTCCACTAAGTCTGGGCGTCTTCTGGCCCACATCTCTTACGCCAGTTTAAGAGAAATTTA